CAAGTCAAGTCGTTAGCCGGGTTGAGCCAGAAATCGGAGGAACCCAAAATAACGGTGGTAGGATTTGGACCACCCGTGAAGTCCGTGGAGTAACCAATAATGGAATCGAAACAGTTAAGCCCATCAAGAAGATCCACGCCGGCCACAATTGGATCGGTGACAGAGTCATTGTAAGAAAGAATGAAACCACCCTGGGTAGGGTTAACAACCACATTAACGGTGGTAAGCGCAGAAACAGCGGCAGTCAATGAACTGACGTCAAAGCCAGTGGCCTCCAATGGATCGTCGAAGGAAAAGAACCATTGCACAATGTACGTGTACGTTCTCACCCCAGTTCCTAAGACGGCGATATCAGTAGTCGATTGGGCATAGAAATCGGCGGTAGCCAGCCAAGCAAGCAGACCCAGACCGCCGGAGGTAACATAAGAATTACAGAGGTTAGTTGGGACTGTGTTGGTGATACTGGTGACAACAGTGGTGATGTTGATGACGGCCGTGGCCACCTGGAACAAGAAGGGGACCAAAAGCAACGGAGAGAGTCTCATGATGGTATTGATGCTATTTGAAACAAGCGCCAAAACTGGCTGGGGTCATCGTTTGTCTTATATAGCGCCTGATAAAAACCTTGGGGAGCGATTTTAAAGTTACCATTTCTTCTAATTCCAGATTGAACCAGTGGAAATGCAGCCTAACGTCAGACGGCTATCAAAATATCACAAAGTAAGTAGGGGTATGAAGCAACAGGGTTCATTGGGAGACTAGTTATGAGCCAGGAAATCGACTAATCCCTGTTAGGCTGAATGTCTCACGCGTAAGATCTACAAACAAGCAGTTAGATCCTAGGTCTTTGATTTCATAGAATGCATCTCCGATTTAGGTATCAACAGTGCCGGTTTTCACAAAGCCTAGAGGAATCTAAAAGGATTTTATGATTCTTCATATTTTATATGATACATTTTTTCAAGGTCTGTAATGCCTGTTAAACTATAGGCTATACAGGGATAACGGGCCTAGTAGAACTATGCAGGTAATGCATCGTCATGGGATCTTATGTGCAGATGTAGAGGTGCATGATCGTCTAGTGAGAGCCAGTTCTAAGCGAGATAAATAAGCAGTCCTTCTGCAGAAAAACACTTCGAGACACGTGATTTGGCGGCTTGAAAGTGCTAAATAGACGGCTACCTTGTTAATCTGTCTTCAAATTCTAGGAGGTTGGAGTGAAACTGACAAATGGTAACTATTGGCTTATGAAAATAATAAGGCTATTTAGTGCAAGGGATACAGCAATGTTGTGAGCCAACGGATCGGCGATATGCGTCTTCCACCGGATAGATTGAACTGTTAGCCCAACGTCTCGACCCCCCGGGAATACAAAGAGCAAGCAGATACACGAGAACCGGACTGAGAAAATACAAGCATCCTTTTCACACGTGCACCTATTAAACAACAGTACAGCCTCGTTCTATAAAGCTGGATGCTCCCTCTCAACACCCAGGATCCGGTGTGGCAATGAAAAGAAGCATTATGCACATCTACTGCAGCGCCTGTATTAACAATGCTAGCAATGTTATGTCTCCAGCGTCAATACCTGCACCAGGTATAGGCGCGGTAAGGGTGAATAATCCAGTCTCTCTCATTTTCGGCCTCTTGTAGATCAATAGCTAACTCTTTGTTGAAAAGGTATGCGAGTCTGCCTTAGCCATCGAGATACACCGTGTATTCGCGTCTCAAATGATCGGCTGTACCTCTTGAGGTGTATACAGCTATTCCTGTGAGCTCTTTGAGTCGTTTTCAAAGTCAGGTAATTTCGGTTGTACGAGGCGTACACGTCTCTACCATGTAGACCCCAATGGGCCGCGTTCCTAAACCCTGGTCTACAGGTTAATCCCTGCGCTAGATGTTTGCATGCATAGTTTAGATTTTCTCCCAGGGTTGGCTGGAATTTCGTTCCATGACGGCGTTTGTATGAAGTCCGAATCTAGGTGATACCGTTAATGTTTTTCGGTACTTTTATGATTCTTGCATCACCATTGCAAAAGTTGCTTGAGTTCGCTCACCATATTCATATTCGCCCATACAACAAGTTAGACTAGGATAGCTGGCGGCTTGGTTTTGCTTGCTAATAGAACATAGAAATATACGTGGATGTCTGAGTTCTTAATCCAGTCTCACGCCACGGTCTTGACGGTCTTCCGCTACGCTTTTGAAGCAATATACCAGGGTGAGAATGTATGATCATGGTGTGTCTTTATGGCGCACTGGCTAGCCCTTACTGGGATAAAGCTGGAAGTGGAAACTTAGTTTCATATGTAAATAAAGCTCTCACACTATATATATCTTTGGGTTCTCACCCTGAGACAAATTTAGAGACTGAAATAACGGCCAGCAATGGAGAAGAAACGCCTATTTCTCCAAAGGAGATTCTTTGTCAGCTGAGGCAAAGAAAAAATCATGTGTTGTGTTAAACACTAAAAGAGACTCTGACTTGTCGGGTATGCCTTCGGCGAGACCTTCAAGCTTTAAATTGTCACGTTTTTCAAAGTCTTTTGCCAATATGGATATGAAGTTGTAGTTTGCGACGCTTTGCAATAGTAATTGTGGTGTGCAAAAATGACTTTGCACGCGCCGTTTTTCGGGAGCGATGTATACTAAAGGTGCCATCTTGTCCCGCAGCTATTGTCGGCGGACTTCTCCTCACCTCCGGCCAGTTGATATTATATACCATCAGTCGTACAACATTTCGGTATCCTATCTTCCTCAAGCCGATTCCACGACATATCATCATCGAGGCTTAAAAGTGCCGTTCCTTGTTCTCAGTAAGATCTCGACTCCTCTGATTGTAAATATCTTACATAAAATGCACTCTCTTAGTTAGCTTATGGTATACACTGCTACCCACTGGATCTATCACATAATGGAAGGTTTGAAGCTGATAAACTCAATATGAGAAACACAGCTACTTAAATAGGCTCTTGGGGTTTCAGCGGAAGCATTCCCAATACTCAGTGATTGGTTTTTTTTGCCCTAACTCCTTCGACTTTTATAGCAGTGCTTGGAGTGAGAGAACGCAGAGCTTTATGGTTTTAGCACGCAGCTTTCCACTTTGGACATAAATATAATCTCAATGTTTTGGTCAACCGTTGATCGGACTTTCTTGCCCAAGCTTTATAAACCCCAAAGGTATTGTCCTCACTTCGAATGGAATAAAGAAATGACCCAACAAAATAGTTCTTGTAAGATTACCCTTTTTGAGGCTGTCAATCTTTATGAGGTAGTACGGATGGAAAAGCCATATTGGTCATGTAAGTATTATGTCTATTACTCACTGTGGTCATTAGTGGTATTTATCAAATTTTAAATCCAATTGCGTAGTATCATAACTTGTTTTTCTATCGGATAACGAAAAAGGATATGTTCAACGCCATAAGAAGAGTATCAAGATGTATATAGCATGCTTTCCGTGTGTAGGCCGATAAAGGTAGAATAAGAAGATTACAAGAGATATGTCTGAATTACAGCCAAAGCTCCGTGGAACTGTTTGCAGCCAACTCAGAAAAAAAAGAACCCACGGCGAGAGTCGAACTCGCAATCTTTTGATTAGAAGTCAAACGCGTTAACCATTACGCTACGCAGGCATTTCATGTAGAGAAGATTTTCGCTAGTATATACACCAGAGACATTAGAGTACTGTCAAGGTTTAGAACCTAAAAATCTAAAAATCTGGGCTTTACATACAGAGCTCCTATGGCAATTTCTCGAGAAATATTCTTACTAAACCCGGTTTCTAAATAAAAGGCCTAGCCTTTTCTTCAAACATATCTAAACCAATTTAATAACATATCCCAGTCTCTCTCATGTCTTAACAGTCATTTATCCTTTGGCGTTAGCCCCGTTACGACAACAAGAAAGCGCCCAAGCCCTCATTGATAGCAACCAACATGCGCTCACGCATCACCCCTACCGACGAGTAATTGGGGAGTTTGAGATAATTGGCACAGGTCATAACGCTGGGCAAGTAATCGTCTGGCCCGAGACCGTCCTCGTTGTGCTTGAGCACGATGGTGAACTCGGGCTTCAACGCCTTAAAACCGCCAAGCGGAAGCATCGGTGACCCTGTCAAGAACTGCACAAAGTTACGTCTCAGCGCAGGATCCAACTCGCTGAGCACAAGTACAAAGTTAATAACTGTTGGATGGTCGCTGGTGTAGCCGTGAGCGGCTTTGACCGCAGACCTGATAGCTTCAAAAGACCAGTCTTCGAGCTCGCCACTGCCTCCGAACAAATTGACCTTCTCTTCAGGCGTGAACATGTGCATTGACTCGTACGGAATCACTTCTGAGAAGCCCTTGACAAACGCCCGGAGTTGTTTCTCCACCCCCACACCCACAGTGGCATCTACCACCGCAGCAATGTAGCAGTCAATGTTCGCTGGGCCTACATCTATCGCCGAGCCATTCTCTCTCAAGGGATAGTCAAAATACCCGGGCAATGTAAAGCTCAACGACAAGTCCTCGAGGTTCGCACCACTCAACTGCAGGAGAGATCTCCACAACTGAGGGTCCACCTCCTTGACCGCGTCAAGATCAGTGGTACGTGTAAGTCTGAAGAACGCTGGGTTGAAACGGAAATCAACGATGCGCCCGTCAAGTAAGCTCTTGGCTATAAACTTCCCCAACATCGCAAATTGCTTTAATTTCACGCTTATCTCGGCCTCCAGGCCTGTCAACGGAGCGGGGAACAAACCGGGACCAACGTATCCCTCTGAGACATCGAAATCTTCGCATCTCCACAACTTCAACTCGCGCCGGGTAAATTCCTTGGATACCTCTGCGTAGAATTCCAAGGTAGGCCCCAAACCGGTACCGACCTCGTCGGAAAACTCAATCTCGAGTACGCTGGGATGCGCACCGTAGAGAGCGAGAACCTTCAATGCGCTGGGGAACATCTGCTCGCGCTTAATGCGCACCTTTTGCTTATGCTGGGCTCCCAATTGGCTAGTTGCGGATGCAGGGTCGGTGTCCTCACTGGCACGGCTCTGCCAGAGCTGGAGCATGCGCGAGTAACCGAACGAAGTTGACTTGAGGAAGTAGAGCCGGGTCTCGAGCGGAAAGAGGAACGGGAACTGACGTGCAATCTGGATGCACCAATGGGGCAAGAGACCGCTGGCCACAACCAACGGCTCATCCAATTGGCGTTTGAGCTTCGCACTTAACTTCCAGTTGACAAAAAGAGCCGCGGGAGCGCGCAAATGCGTGCGGATGGAGCCAAGGAGACGGAGAATGCTCACAGGGGTAGAATCTTCCAACTCTCCCTCGTCGTTGAGAAGCGAGCGGTCCATAGGGGCCGGGGTTGCGACCCCCAGAACCTTCCGAAACGTCACCAGATGCATTTTGGACCAGATCTGGTGCGGATCCACGGCTTCCCCGTCATTTTGCAACGACTTATAGATTGCGCCGTAGATGGCCGTTTCTACCGGAATAACCTCCCCGTTGATTTCAAACTGGAGATGCCACTGATCCGAGGACATCTCTCCCATCACATCCTGTAACCTATCGAGGAAGTCGATCTTACCGCGAAGAAACTGCTCAATGGATTGGAACGTTGCAATCGCCTGGACCTGCAACGAAAGATTTCGCAACACCGACGGAATCTCCTCGCCGTCGCCCTCAAATGCCAACTCTAGAGCCACCTGTTTAGTCATTGCGATAGAGCACGAAGCAATACTACCCTCCTTAGAATCCGAGGAGATGACCTCAAATGACTCCGAGCGGGTTAATGCATCCTGCAATTTCCCCACTAGAAGCGGCCCCGCCTCACTGTCAAAGACCTCACTAAAGCATTCCGCACAGTTGCGGGAACCCGACGGCCCAAGCGCGCGCGCCATGGCATCAATAACCCCCGATGAAATGAGCTCATACGACGAGACACCCACATTATTGGAGCCTTGAAGTGCCTGGCGTAGGTCAACCCAGACCTTGGTCCAACCGATCCGCGCGAGTTCTGGGCTGCTAAGCGTCCGAACAACATCCTGGAGCAACCGCATATGTTCGAGCTTGGTCGTACTAGCAGATGGTTGGACCGCACGGTAGGTCTTTCCCAACGCCGTACACACCAGATGCAACACTCCGAGCGCTTGTTTTGCATTCGAGGGGGCGAACTGGGGTGCAACATCCGCGTCCAGCGTCGGTGGGGTGTATATGAAGTTGCTTTCAGAGGAGTGGGAGGAGTCAGATTCAGAGTCTTCACCTAGGTTCTCACTATGTTCACCTTCATGTTCATGTTCTTCATCTTCAATGTCTTCATCTTCAATGTCTTCATCTTCATCGTCATATTCACCCGCAGAATGACTTTGATCTGGATCGTCGTCTTCGGAGAAAGCGTCCAAGCAGGAAAGCAACCCCTCGGCATCCTGGAGCAACCCATCTCGCTCAAACACTTCCACCACCGACGGGACCTTGTCAATCAAAATTTCCGTAATGTACAACGCGCCGGTTAACAACAAAGTGTCATTCACGGTGCGCGCGCCGCGCCGCGCAATTTCTTCCACAACACTGCTCTTAGACTTGATGATCACGGACGCCAAAAGTGACACGATTGTGGCATCAGATGAGATGGTGGTGATCTCTGAAGGACTGAGCACCTCAAAGATGCGGATGAATGCCACCAAAACACGTCGCCGCGTACTAAAATCCACGGTCGCCGGGTAGATGTCAATCAAGAGCGCGTAGATATCGTCTACAAACGCTCGGAAGCACGGCCAGGTATCTGTGCGCGTGTACAACTCGCGGCGCGCAGCGTTGCGTTCAAGGTACGCCGCAGACTGCTTATGAAGAAACGTCCCCACAAGTGGACTCAGCTCCTGTGCCGTTTGATTGAACGGAATCACAAGACAGATGAAATTAAGAAAGCCGAGAACAAGCTCTTTCGGCGTAGACATGAGTGTGTCAAGCGAAAACATCTTCTCCGCTTGGGTGTTTTCCGAGTACCCGTTCAAGGCACTGAAGATCATGCTACCGGTGTCACCATGCTGCAAAACAAGACACGCAATCTGTGGGGATGACGCTACCAACAGTGACAACGACTGCAAAAGTTTGAGTGAAACCGTGTAGCTGATCTGCGCGCTCCTCTTCTTCGGTGACATGGCCGCAACCACGGAGCACATTTTGGCCAACAACCGCGGGTCGGCAAAGAGCAGCTCTAAGTGATCGGGGTGGCCTTGGTATGCGTGCACAATGTTGGAAATCGCGAGCCAGGCCTTCTCAGCCGCGGGAACATCTTCGTATTCTGCGGCGACGCGCGCGATCGCGGGAAATACCTCTTGTACCTTGGAGTAGTCGCGCACGCCCACCCGCACAGTTGCGTTGGCGGCCAACGTCAACACACGGCGCTGCGCATGGATCGTGAAAAAGTCCAAGTATTGGAAGCATGCGCCCAAGCCGGTGCGCCGCATCACCGCACGCCCGTCGACACGGCTGATGACCTCAAGCGTCTGCAACGCCTGCTCCGCAAGGTCGATGTAGCTGATCTCCAAGAGCTTCGCCTGGAGCGCTTCAATGCCGCTGTTAGCCACGACCGCGGGGACATAGTCAGTGCTCAAGTCAAGCAAGTTTTGGAGACAACGACACGCAACCAACTGGAGCTCAAGCTCCTCCATGAGGAGCGGGTCGGTCAACACGTCGACAATATTCTTAGTTAAACGGTTCGCGGGGATGGTGCGCTCGGCCACCAAGTTGTTCATCATGAGCAACTTCTCGCTCAACTCGTTGAGCGTTTCAAGGATGAGATAGGAGTCGTCGCGGCGCGCAATGCCGTCAATCAACAGGTTGAGTGCACTGCCGCGCACTTCGCCGCGTGCCTCGAAACCAAAGAACCCTGCAAGACCCTCGCCGTTGGCCCCAAGGAGCGCCGCAAGACCCTCGCCGCTGGGTCCGTTCGGGCCACGGCCGAGAAACCCGGCCAATCTCTGTAAAATCTCGCTATCTCCTTCCTCGCCCCCCTCAAGTCGCTCGTTCATTGGATCGTCGCTATCAGATTCCTCCTGTTGTACTTCTGTGTCAAGAACATCGTACGCACTGACGGAGCGACTGCGCTGGTACTGCTGCGACAATCTGGCAAGACCGTCGTCCTCGGACTCATTTGCCAGCTCGTGTGGCTCATCGGGCTTACCAGAAGACATTGTGGATATCTTTCTCTTTTTCCGTGAGGGACTCACTTTATGCTAGTTGCGAATCAAAAATTCACCAAGGGAGAGAACAAAAAGAAAGCTGTGGGAGTAACTCATCCTGATCTGTGGCTCTACGATGGCGCTCGGCCCGTTTTGATGGCGTGCGGGTTGATGCCGAATACGGAAGTCGACCCCCAGCTGCCAAATGCGGCAGTCGAGCTCATCGCGCACGTGACTCTACAAGCCGGGTCACCCTCTGAGTTTTTCTAATTTTTTTTTTTTTCACGCTGCAGGCTAGCTTTTCATACAAAAGACAAATTTCATTTCTCATTCTCTTATCTGCTCCCAACCACACTATACATAATGCCTGTCTCCAAACGTACCAAGCTCGTGACCTTAGCCCAGACCGATAAGAAGGGTAAGGAGAACAAGACCAGAATCTTTGATGAAATCAGATCCGCCTTGGATTCCCACAAGTACGTGTGGATCCTCGTCTTGGACGACGTTAGAACCCCAGTCTTGCAGGACATTAGATCCGACTGGGTCGGGTCCAAGTTAATCTTGGGGAAGAGAAGAGTTCTTCAAAAGGCCATGGGTGATACTGTCCAGGAAGAGTACAAGGATAACTTGCACAAGTTCTCCAAGTTGGCTACCGGTGTCTGTGGCTTGTTGTTCACGGACGAGAAGCCGGAAACTGTCCAGGAATATTTCCACGCCTACGTCAAGGCCGATTACTCCAGAGCCAAGTCTAGAGCTCCTCTTGACTTCAACGTGCCAGAAGGTATTGTCTACTCCCGCGGTGGCCAGATCCCTACCGAGGAAGACGTCCCAATGTCCCACTCCATGGAGGAAACCTTGAGAAACAAATTGAAGATGCCAACCAAGATCAAGTCCGGTAAGGTTACCTTGGCTGAAGAGTATCACGTCTGCACTAAGGGTGAGGTCTTGGACGTCAGACAGGCCTTGTTGTTAAAGACCTTTGGTGTCGCCGCCTCTGAGTTCAAGGTCAAGATGATTGCCTACTACTCTTGTGAATCCACTGAGGTCACCAAGTTCTAAACACCCACACCCCCTAGAAGCCCAGGTACCATTTGTCTGCGCCTTTCTTCTTTTGTCATATCTATAGCTCTCTGTACATTATATACTTCTTTTCCGCATAGCGCATCCTGTGTCAATACAATTTGATTGCTAAAATATTCTCTAGCAGTCTTCCTCCAGGAAGGCTCCTCAGGTCTCTTGAATCCATGATAAACGATGCGCTTTATTGCGCAAAAGCAATAAAGCTCGATATACCCAGATCATGCTCGCTTCGTCTCCTGGTCCCGAACGCCAAAGCTCTGTCACAGCGTGCTCAAATTATCTACAAAATCCTTCATTAATATTGAATTATTACGCCATTCTAGTTCCTTTTGGCCGAGCCTAACTTCTCGTGCTATCATTATCTCAATCAAGACCACTCATCTGCCGGCTCCGCCACAACATACTTGGTCTGTACAAAAAACAACTTCAAGTCTACCGAGCCAACATTTCGCAAGGCGTAAAAGTTACCCATGGGCACCTCGAACAGACACCGCTCACCAGCCACAAACGTCTGCTGACTGATCTCCACCTCCACCACGCCCTGGACCACGTGGAAGATCATGTACGTGTCATCCGTGCATTTAAGCCCTTTAAATGAGCCCGCGGCGATGGTAAGAATACCGGACGCCGCAAAGTCACGGTTTTCGTCAAACAAAATCGCCAACTTGAACCGTTCCGCGCTGGTATCGTTATCGTCCCCCACTGACGACACATACTGTTCCTTATTAGGAGCCCAGGCAATTGTCCGCTGGACCTTTTTGTCGCTGCCATAACCCTCAAACACCTCCGCCGCCAATTGACCCGCCTTGTACCACCTGGCACCTTCCATCGCGGGTACGCCACGCACCCTGGGCACAGATACGGGTGTCTTGCGCTTTTTCGGCCCTGGCTTTGCACGCGGTTTTTGCAGGTTACTGGGCATGTGGATCACGTCCTGGATCTCTTGTACGTGGATCCCGTTCTTCAGGTTTGCGGTGTAGATAATCTTCTCGTTGCGCCAGTATGCTAGCGGCTCCACACGGCGTCGTGTCGATCGTCTAACATGGCCTGTGTAGTTATTTCGGGTCCACGGCTTTGCTTTTGAGGCCACCTCGACCAAATCGCTTTCCTCCTGCTCAGTTTCAGCGACATTCTCAAGTTCATCACCACTTTCAACAATGGTGGGCCTCTTGGCCCTTCTTCCACCACGGACGGGTTGCGAAGGCTCCACTGAACGCTGATTCCGCCCATTTCTTCCGCGAACGGGCTGTGACACTTCTTCTGGCGATGTGGATTGCCGATTCCGCGGCGAACCAGATCTCAGCCGCTCGTCGTCAAACAACGAATCCTCCGATGAATCGTCGCCAAGTGTCTCCAAGTCCTGTAAAAGCCGCTTGTGTGACCGTTCCTGTTGCGTAGAAGCCCTGGGCTCTGGAGAGTCGATTTCCATCGGCTGGCTCTCGTTATCAGCGCCCATGTCAAAATCTTGGTAGTTGTCATCTGAAGAAGGATCGCGTGTCAGCTGCCGCCGCGAGGGGAGTGGGGAAAGAAGTGGAGAGGTTTTGCTCACTAGCGCCAAATCAGTGTGGGAGCTTGACTGCGACACGGGGAGAAGATGGTTAGATTTGGAGAAGTCAAGCGTTCTCGCGACGCTGGTAATGCTTGTTTGTTTAGGTGGCTGACGGAATCTGTTTTGCAGCTGTTTTGGGTGTGGTTTTCCCGATGGCTCGTCTGCAAAAAAGTCATCCAAGTCCTCCATGTCGTGCTCGTCGCGCCGAGTGTTGGGCTTGGCCCTGAGACCAGTCTTTCTCGACTGCGAACCGATATTTAATAGTTCGGACATGGATGGTTAAATGCCTGGAATCGAGCTTATGGGAGATAGTTGTGTGGGGTGGAGCAAACACGTTTGGCGCTTGTTTACTTCTAGAAAAGCAGTAGGAAACGGAACGAAAATAAACGCGTAGGTACGCGTCCCGCACGACCTTTTTGCCAAACGTAAAGATTAGCACTAGCACCAATTGTGATACATGTTTGTTGCCTTGTTTGCGGTCTAAAACGTGGTGTTTCTAACTTTATTTTAGACGATAAAGTAATCAGCACATTAGATCATATCAATTCTTTAATCGTGGGTGTTGCTAATGGGTATACTGCTGCCGTACCAAGGATGCTGCACCGGGCTAGCCAGATCGGTGATTCTGGTAGTCTGATACATCACTTGATATCGATAGTTCTCGGAAATTTTTACTGCTGTAGCTTTGCTATCCAGTCTAGTTTTTTTTTTTTTCATTGGAATAAGGATACTTGTGGCATCTTTCCACTGCTAATCGTCTGTGGCACTCATTGGCTTTCGTAGATTTGTGAATAACGCCGTCTCGTTCGATGCAGGCGACTCGCTCTGTACATATGTCCCCGGTTTCGAAAATCATACACTCGTATAGTGCTTCCCTATAGTAGCATAAGTTTATAAATATTTCTTGAAGGGTAAAGCTCACTAGATATAGTCTATTGTAAAATAGGGAATATTGCTTGAATTATTCATCACTGGTAAACTAACAGTGTGAGCCTCTATAATTCAACAAACTACCTCATCGTAGAGTGCTTCCAAAGTCATGCAAGCTGGGTTAAACCTGTTTAAGTTTAAATTCGTTAGATTTCACCCTCCTCCCCGCTTTTCGTAGTCTGAATACAAAATATATGACTGCTTTTCACAAGCAATTCTCCCGCCGTATACCCCGTCTGTAACCACGAATTAATACCCTTAGACTATTTTACTTATTCGGCCTTTTTAGAATCTTGAAAATCCGATAATGGTGGATGCCGTCACAAGTTCAGATTCTGATATTCCGAGTATTAGAAATTCTTACGATTCTCTCACCCCTACATTCTTCCAGTCATATAATTCGTTCATTCATCTCTTGTCTCTCTACAATGACGGGGCATCTTTGGCGTCAATAAACTTTAGCGACACACTGTTAACACAGTGTCTCTCATCGGTAGGGGTCTTGAAGCCTTCACCCTTGAAAATATGCCCTAAATGGCCGCCGCAGTTGGAACAAACCATCTCGGTGCGCAACATGCCGCCAGACCTGTCTTCAATAGTCACAATGGAGCCAGGTAAGGCCTCGTAGAAGGCTGGCCAGCCGCAATGGGCATCAAACTTGGTGGAAGACTTGTACAACGGCTGTTCACAGCCGGCACAATTGTACACACCTGCATCGGTCGTTTTGTTATACTTCCCGGTGTGGGGGCGCTCAGTGCCCTTCAAACGCAAGACCTCGAACTGCGCTGCGGTCAACTTTGCGGCCCATTCGCTGTCGGAATACTTAACCGGAAACTGGGATGACATGATAGTGCTGGAAAATGGGCGTAAACGGCTGGTACGGAGAAGATAGCGCTTAAGCATGGGAATGGTGGCGATAAAATCGGAGTGACGAGCGGAGCAAGTCAAGAAGTGAGATGCGGCTCGATTCTTATCAATGATACTAGCAGCCCTGTTGCTCACGTGACTGGAAATGCAAGATGTATAGTAACCCCTGGGCCATACGTATATAATCTGTAGCGTAGTTTGAATATTTGAACTAGATTTAAATGTTTCTTTATTTAAAATATAAACGTATATCCTTTTATTGGTCAAAAATCTGGGGTTCACTGCTCAAACGCTTCTCATGCTTTAATACCCATACGTCACGGTCTCAGACCCGACTAGCAAAATCCATTCTATTTACACGCATTAACTTATATACACCTATTTTCTGGCATTAATCATCGCTACGGCTTCTTGCACCACAGGGCCGGATGGATGCAAGACCTGAACTACTTTGCCATCTCTCCGAAAGCTTACACCGGTCAATCTCCCAATTTTCTCTAGATACGGGACAACATCACCCGCAACTTCCACCAGCACGGCATGGCTCTGGATGTGCTTTGCTCGCTCCTTGATCAACCAACAGGCCTGTTTAAGCTTCTGAGCATTGCGGTTGTACAAAACGAGGCTGTTGCCATTCTCCAAGAGCACACGGGTGTTGGTGAATTTTCTGATCTTATTAATGGCCGAACCGCCTCGACCAACTACCGCCTCGGCCAAAGCTTCGGGAAGGTCGATCACAGCATGGGAGGAATTGAGGTTTTCGATTTGGATTAAAACCTCCAACACAACCACATCCACGTCGGACTTCGAGAAACCTGTAACAAGGACTGTATCAGCAACGTGGACTGCACATTTATGCTCCGACACAAGTTTCCGAAACGCCTCTGTCTCTATCGTAGCGCGGAACATCCCCACTAACTCCCTGGCAATTTCCATCTCAGTGATATTTCTTGCCAACGTCACCTTGGCAGCCTCCAACTTTTGCATGAGGGCGTCCAAGGCCACCTCATTGGTATTTACGAATGTCAACAGAAGGTTGTCGGTACCAGAAAACTCCACCACGCTATCGTATCCCCCAAGAGTCGCCGTGAAACGGTCCTCCATCCAGCGCGGGACTGTCACCGTCCGCGTACACTGCGAAACACGAGCTAGGTCGCTTTCAATCATCGACACGGCCCTAGCTATATCAGCGGGGCAGAGGCCATAAATAGACAATTCTGTCAAAGGCTCATTCTCTATGAGTTTGAAATGAATGGCTGTTGAAGTGATAGACGTAATCTCGGTTTGCCTTTCTCCGTGGTTCGCCTCTAGAAACAAACGGAGAAGCTTGGGAACACATACAGTTTGCTTCAATTCAAGGCAATTGGCAATCTTTTCAGCCACTCCTGATGCCGCTTTCTTCACCAAACTGTATTCATTTCCCCTAACATGGATCAGATGGTCGAACTCAACCTTCACTCCTTCAAAGCTAAATTTCATTTGTGACACTAACGAACGAATAGCCTCTTGGACCACAATAGTTTCCGTAAACTGGTGGGGAGATCTCTGTGAAATATCCTCACAAGCTGCAGAAATCTCCGATTCATCCTTCCCAAAGACATGGACCGTGTTTCCATCAAGAGCCAACACCACACCAAAGGTCAGTTCGATTTCAGGGGCAAGAGAGATAATCTCAGAGGAAACAGGGATTTGTCTGGAGGTCCGAACTAATTCACTCCATTTCTGGGAAACTTCGTCATAAGAAGCCTGAGAAGATAGAACCACATACCCTGGAGTTTCCACCTTGGGTCTAAGAAGGCCCAAGACGACACGGTGGAAGACTTCAGGGTATTCAAAAATTTTCACTGTCTTACCAAGTTGCTCCAATCTAGTCAAAAAAAGAGCTTCTGACGAACTAATAGCTTCAGAGGTTGGTCCAAAAAGCCTGAGCATACGGCCATCAAGCTCAAAGACACAGCCAGTTTCGCTTGGAAGATGGTTTAAATCACTATTGGGAAATTTCCCACTCACCCTATTTGCTTCTCTGAGGAACTCGTCTGTAAGCAATGGCACCAACTCTCCCGGAACACTTACAGCCTTTGACATGGCCAAGTTTTTCTCCAAAACTTCCAACCATTGAGTCATCTTCTCCGCCATAGCTACGGCCTTTTTCTTATCCATTGAGTGGATCAAGATCTTGTCAGTCATAGTAATGCTTGTCTCGGTCTTGTAAGACAGAAAACAGTTGTGGAAAAACCGTGGAACCTGTAAAATTGCTCGCGGAATCGAAACTGCCATAGTATTGTTGGCCATTTCGTCCAAAAACGCCACCACTTCCCTTTGAGCCAGCACGCCACCTATTATATCGATAATTCCCACATCTCTTACCACTATCCGGCACTTGTGGGTCGCTTCAATCTGATCGAATGGAAATTTCAGCCATATACCTTTCAAAAAAGCCGGGTCCTGCGAAGTTTGCACCACCGCACTTTGGGTAACTAATGTATGCACCAACTTAGTAAGCTGCTGCCGAGCTCTAGTAATATTTCGTTCACTACCCCGGAGCTCAAATAAACCGTATTTCACGTTAATCGACACCTTACCTTCCCGTTCAATAGCAATAACCTGCTCGAGGTGCCTTTCAAAGTAGGGGTACAAGTACTCGGGATACGCCTCCAGGCTCGCGGCGACTCGTTTGTGCAATTCTTCCACACACCGATTCACTACCCGGTGCGCATTGTCAATTATCCCTGGCTGCCCGGTAATCACAAGCTCACTGGTGTCCGGGTGTTTCTCGCCTACCTTGATGTGCACCTTCAACCGTTCCTGAAGCTTCTTGATCTGGGAACCACCGGCACCGATGAATGGCCCCAAAAGCGTGTTGGGGATGGCTACGAGTCGCATATTTTCTGTCTCGGTCGTTAGCCTCGCCCGTAGCATCCCTGCCGCTGCCGCAATTGTCGCCTCAGAGTGACCCGAAACATAGATCTCCTGTACCTGCCCACCCTGTGGCTCGATATAGATGCACAGACCGGTCTTCTCGACGATTTCGGCGATGAAGGCACCCTTAGGGCCGACGATACGCGGCATGAACGTACGCGGCACCGAAATCCGTTGCGCAGTCTCTTGTACGCGCTTCAACGCACGTACGATCTGGGCGTGTACGGCCGCGACGGTCGCAGGGTCTTCCCCTGTGACCAAAATCGTGGTTTTGTCAGCGACAAACTGAAGCACTAGCTCGTTTTGGCACTGCGCACGGATCTGGTACATCTGATGCTGCATTGCGCGCACGTACGGCAGTGGCACCGCGATTTGGACCATGTTTTGCGAAAAGGAGTTCACCAAGTACTCCACCAACGCACGCGCGCGCGCTATTTGCGGCGGCGTCACACCGTAAATTGTGATATCCGTCATGCCGCACGCATCTGACTCATAATCTGCGAAGATCAAGGTACCGGTCTGGTCTTGGATCGTAGTGATCCGCGCCCCGTTGAACCCCACGAACGCACGCACCAACACGCTCGGGATCTGAATTACCTGCACGTTACGCTCAGTCTCGGTAATTAGCCGCGTTATTGTTTCACGCGCCTTGTTCGCAGTCTCGGATACTTCGCTGAAAATGCTCATAGTGTACTTCGTGTCGACCGAAATGACCACATTCAACGTCGCCTGGAGCTCCTTGATCATCGCAGCTTTATCGAGGAATAAACGGCGGCGGAACAAGTTGGGTAACGGGATTTGGATAACTTGGTGGTGGAAGGAGCTGAGAAGGTTGGTGAGTTGATTTTGGGCGGTATAAATGTCCTCAGCGCTACTCCCGATTATACGAATACGAGAGAATCCGGTAGCATCATTTGTGCGGTCGTACACGTGGTCAGTCAAGTTCGCTTCATAGTTCTGTGATTCGGTGTTGTTTGCATGATCAATCACATTCACCGCTTTGCAATTATCTTCGTTGTGGTTACGCTCAATCTGTAACAGAGTATTTGTCTCATCCCGCAATTTTTGCATCCACGCCGAGTCCCTCCCGGACATTGCCAGGATAAAATGTTTTGGAACCTCCACCACCTTCGACATGCGCTCAACACCCCTCACGCGCCCATCAATCTCCAGATACATCCGCTCCAATGTCGTACGATCCTTGTGAATGAGCGTCATCCTACGCAATCCGCCCACCAGCTCCCCAAACGAAAGGTATGCAAGCTCCTCCACGACCAAGTGTCGGAGGAAGTCGCGGTTCTGGGAAATAAAGTACGACACGGCATAATCCGGGTATTCTGCGGTACATCTTTGGTCGGTGGTTATCCGGAACATTCCTTGGAGAAGCCCTATTGCCTCTGTGACCTTGGCGGTGTTTTCGGAGTACACCGTGCACACCAAAGCCCCGGCATTTTCCCGGCAAAAGATGACAGTGTCGGTAGTTTCAGCGATTTTATTTCCCCTTGTACCGCAATAACTGAGAAACGGATGTGCAAACTCTTTATCAACAGTATATGTTTCAGTATTTCGGGATAATTTATGTAGAAACTCCGCGACATCGCTTTCTAATCGCACGAGAGCCTCGGGTTCTGTCGAGCCACAGTACAAATCAACGTAGTCGGAATCGTTGATGTTTAATGTTTCATCGGGACCATTGGACGCATTTCTATCACTTTCCGATCTTTTAACGGTAAAGGCTCCGTGGTAGCCCTTGAGGACAGTTCCAAACATGTGCGTGAGATACGCCTCGAGAAAGCCCGGAAACGGGGCAATCATCCCTTTAGGAACAACCACACGCGTGGTATTTTCTCGCAAAACTCGGAGCAACGATTCTGTCGCGCGCACGGCCGTGCGCACGGCCTCTGACGTGCCGTGGATTGTCACCAGGCACACGCGGTTCGAGTTCTGGCCGATTTCGATGCGGGTTTTAGTAGAGGCCTCGATTTCACGGAGGTTTATCTGAGGGTTGCTGAAGAGCGGGTCAACCAAGATCCGTGGGACCATCATCACTATCTTGCTGGTGACCGCGCTGGGGGCCTGGAGGCCGTCCTGAATGGGCTTGAACTCTGCGATACGTCGAGTGATCCGCTCCGCCACATCTGCTCGCGTGGAAACACCACTCTGGGTGCATATAAGTATTCGACCATAGTATCTGGGAAACCTCCTAGTAATTCCTCGTAACATCTTGCGTAAGAACTGGGATGTCGAAAGAGATGAAGTGTCCGAGAGGCAGAAATAACTTTTGGTGACTACATGCAGGCACAGGCGATGGGGCTGGAGGCACATGATTGTCCGAAGCCTGTGAGTAAATATACTAATCTGGACCCTACTCAGGCATTTCCAGTAAGGCAGAAGTACCCATATTATGGGTATGTTTCGACATATATTAGTTGCTAAAGTTTAGGGCCTCGATGGAAGTCATTTTAGCTTTTAATTAGAATGCTAAAGTTTTGTTTATATTATATACCAGTCCATATACTTTGTGAAGGAAATAGCGAGCTATTTTCTAACCTCCGTAACATACAGTGTTTATAAAAAAAATACCTCAACGACAATAATCGCCAAAAAAAAAAGGAGCACTGAGTAATGTATATGAAACATACATGTAAGAAAAAAAAAAAAAAAAAAAAAAACTGAATTATATAAAAAGAGGTGTCCGAAGACGCTATAAACACATAAGAGAAGGCGACCGGGGAATCGGCTTCCTTCTGCAACATTAGATTTCTTGGGTATTTTTTCAATATGGGTATCTCGAAGACATAGTCTCGGATAGAAATGAGCCTGTGAGGGCATTGGGGAGGTACGGTTTCGCAATCAACAGAGGCTTCACCGGCTCTCGCAAAAACTCTCGGAAGATTAAGGTAGACGAGATCTCGGCAAGAACCGGTAAAGCTTTCGCTATAGGGTGAACCGTTCAAGCAGAAAGGAACATGCAAAGTGACAGGAGGGACAGATAGATGGTGGAGAGTGGGATAGAGGAGATTGGAGAAAGGTTTCATTAGAAAGATCTGGGGTTTTGGGAGGAAAAGACTTGAGATCAGGAGATCGGAGGACGATAGTGAGAAAGACTAGTTCTCAACTGGAAGGATCCACTGCTCCCAGTTCTCTTTGGCTCTCAAGTATACAGCGTCCAAGTCCAACTCAACTCCGCCTTCAGTCCCTTCGGCCTCCTCTGGCAAACCAAAAACCTCGACATTCGTAAAGGCATTGGCAAGCAAACACTTCTTGACCTGGTCGATGTCGCCCTGGGAAATCTTCTGCAATCTGGCAAACGCGAGCACAACGCCTACTGGCACCTTCCCCTCGTTCTCAAGGGTAAAGTTCTTTCTTAAGAAGATGTCCTTCGCCAAGTTGTTGACGGAAAAGTAGTAGTCGATCTGGTAGGTCAACAACGCCACGGTATCGCCGCTCTGGCCCACTGCATTCTGGTACTGCGGGTTGCTGTAGTAGGTATTGTTGTGGTAAGTGGCATTCTGGTGTGGGCTGAACGGCACAAAGTTGTAGTTGTTCTGGAAGGGGAAGCTTTTGTATCCGTTGCTGTTCAAACCATTGATGTAGCTGCGATTATTGCCTGCAAAGCCGCTCTGCCTATTAGCGTACGGCACAAACGTCCCGTTCTGCTGTCTGCTGTTGAAAGGATATTTCTTAAACGGTTTTTGGGCAGCGCGTGACTTATCCTCTTCCTCGGTTGGGATCTCCGCCTCTGCGTCTTTAGACTCGTCTTGGGCCTTCTTCTTTGGTGCTACAGTCTTGGTCTTAGTCTTGGTGGTCTTGGTCTTCTTCTGCTGGGTATTGGCGGTTTTGGCATTGTTTTTAGGGCTGGCAATGACCAAATTGGCTTTCAATGGGACCCACTTCCCGGACGCTGGCTTGATACCTCCATTTTGCTGTTGTTCGACGATGAGGGCCGCCTCAGGAGTTGGCCACTTGGCATCAGAGGATGACACTGGCGAGACTGGCGCGGATGGAACCGCCCATGCAGACTTGGCTGGCAACGGCGCTGGCGACAAGTTCTTCAACTTGTTAACGTCCTTTTCTTCCTCGGTCTCAACCTCATTGGTGGCTACGTCGGTGATTCCTGCGACCTCGGCTTCGTCAGTAGGCGCAATAACTTCTTCAGAGACGATTTCAACAGCGGCTTCGCTTGCTGGAGCGGTGGTGGAACCGGCGGCAGCATGGGCATACGAGACAGACGACACTGGAGGGTTAGTACAAGTTTGCGAGTTAAAGAGAGGGATACATACTAGTGTGTGGATGGTGTTTGAAATGGAATCTCTAGTAAAGTCGGAAAAGGTGTAGAAAAAAATGTCCCGCGTGTCAATAAAATTTTTCAGGCCCAGAGAAAATTGGGGCTCTAAGCTCTGAACGAAAAGGTTGATCGTCGAAAAATTGGGCAGGAAACGACGGTCCGGCGGAAAGAGCCTTGGGCCGGGAGCGTACCGCGAAGCGACCTCCGCACGGTGGGGGGTGAACATGTGAAAAATATGATACCCGGGAAAAAAAGATTTATATCAGATAGCAAAATAATATTACCATTAATAATATAACCATGAGTAGCCAAGCTAGGGCAATGAAATTTCTATAGTAATGGCAAAGATATGTAAACAGATAAATATTTGTGAGTTGACTTGTATGACTGGGGGAAATGCGCTTTTTTGTCGTGCAGACTGTTCTGATTCGAGAGAGCATGGACTAGAAGAGAAAGAAGAGTACTTGATGTGAAATAAATATAATGGAGGCTAGAAAGTAGCCAATATTTATTATACATGTAAGTGAACGCTTTGAAGTAAGCACAGTAAAGGTACTACAAACTTGAAGAAGAGCCAATATAAAACTCGAATAGCTGTATTGAATGTAAGGTCGTGCCTTATATGGAAAAATTAAGAGGCGGTTACGAGAGCGGTATACGGAACCCAGGAAAGCGTCACTAAGTTAGCGACACATCTGGTTCTGGGTCAACCTGGCAAGTTTATATGAAAATCGATGGAGTTAAGGTCATTGCAATAATCATATGACGTTGAGTAAAACTGTAGCATGATGTGAAGCCATAAATCGTATATGTAATTGTCGAAAATAAAGCTATAAAATGCATTGAAAATATTCGGTTGTTGCTCTGGAGTTATTAATGAACCTACACGTTTTGATGCAATGATTACTATTGTACACGTTCCCCGTTTAATACGGTCTGAACCTCTTTCTAGACTTCATGTCCTCCACACGCGCCTGATCGCTCTTGAATTTATCCAACAAGTCCTGCATCTCGCGTTTCTTCTTTTCTCTGATCTGGTAGCGGTAAAAGTCCTCTTTCTCCTTCTTCTTCAACTTGTTCTTGACCTCTTCCTGGACCTTTGATGACTGTGCAGCATTGACGGCGTTCAAGATCCCCTGCTTTGTCTTGCGGTGCGACGACACAACCAATGTGAAACCATCCTCATCCACCAAGTTAACAGGCGCCTGTAGCGCCTCTTGAGCGGCGGTTTCCTTACGGGTGAAATTGACCAACGACTGAGAGATGTACTGCTGCAACTTATCGGTCTCAGTGATGTAAGCCTGGTGCAATCGCTGCTGGTACCTCTTGGTGCCCACCACATCGTCCACTGGCCAGCAGAAAAGTTGATTCTCCCCCTTTGCGGCATCGTGGGCTGGTATGATCGCCTTGAGCTGCGCCACAAAATTGTTCATGTTTTTCTTGTCGACAAACTCGACCAATGCGGTGCCATTTGGCAAGTTATCTTCCAAGTTCTTCCCGCTTTCAGCTTCACCGGAAGCAATCTCGGAAGTGAGCTTGGTGAAGTTGATGAAGTCCTCCTGTACACCCAACTTCTTCTTCAAGACCGAGCTGATGATGGTACCCGGAACGAGCGTTGTGAAGAATTTTTTGGTGTTGTTGAAGCCGGCGTCGCTAGGTAAATTCACAAAGAACAACGATCTGGCGGCTCTGTCCGCTAGGTCAGCGTCATTGCTATTGGGCACCGAGTGCTTCTTAAAGAACGCATAGTGTACCACAGGCGACGCCTTGACCGAGGTGGAATTCGATGGCGGGAGAATTATCGGCAAGGTTGTGAAACCTTTAATGTCAGACATGGCGGGTGTACTCGGGCTGATGGAGATGAGTTGATTCAGTCATTATTATGGAGATGCGACGCAAAAATATTTTCTTTGCGTATGCAGGATGGTTTGTTAGGGACATGGTTTACACAAAGCGCGTAGGATCTGGTACGGAATGGCTCAGCTTTCAGTCAAGGCTATGACATTTATTCGGCACCCCAGTAACCGTGATGCCATATCTTGAAGTATACCATTTATTCTACAGAGAAAGGGTCACTCTCAAACTATTTCAGGCTATTTTAAACTATTTTCAAGCATTTTGTGCCTTTTTCGCACTCTTTGCACCCTATGCAGTGGTACTAGCACGCTCCTGTCTAGGCCATCGCTAAGCAGTATTACATAGAGTATAGTCTATACTCTATCGGCCATTGAGTCATACTCACGAAAAATGCTAATCACACCAATAAGGAAGTCATGGCTTCAGTACCTGCATACGCAATTAAACTGTTAGCATGAAGCATGCACAGCATCCAGACAATAGAGTACGAGCTTATCATCGTGGAAAGCCCCACTATGTATCCTTAATCCTAGACCAGTCTTCATTAATATTGCATTATCAATAGTATCCTATAAGTGGGATATGTGGGTCGGACCTAGGCGTGTACACCCAGACATGATTCAGCTTCCACTGGTCTACACATACGCATCACTAACATCCCTACTATTACCACTCTTAGCTTCCACCCGAAATCTTTATGTTAATTAGTCTCAGTTTCTGTTTTAAATGCTAAAACCTGTCTACAGGGTAATATTTAGGCTATAGATGTCTTTCGGATATAATCGTACTTGCTCTATGTCCTCGACTTCCGCTTTTAATGTATTAGTCCAAGTTCCTCGGTATTCAACTGTCTCTTGTAAGGCTTTCATAAATCCCGATTCAAATATTGGTGACTCGAAATGAGGACCCGCACGATATATACCCGTAACCTTATATGTACAGAAGTGGACGCACCTACTCTTTAATTCCGGCCACCTTCTTGGTCTCTTTCATCAACTCATACAACTGGACGATCTGGTCCTCGCTCATGGAGTCCAACATCTCCATGGTGAGACCCTGAACCGCCAGTTTGTCGGCACCACTGCTTTCGTCGGACATCCACTTTCCCTGGTCTACCATGGTGAGATAGTCCTGCCACGAGGTTAAAAACCCAACAATGTGTAACGGGTTGTCGATGCTCTTGTGGGCCTTGAACTCAGCCTTCACATACTGGTCGCCAAGGTCCCTATGCAACTGCGGAAGCTTTCTGTGCGAGCGGAGAATTGCGCGGTAGAGCTTGAGTGGCGGTAATAATGCAGGCGAATCGGCACGAACTGGGCGTCTGGGTTTGACAAAAGTAACAAAGGATGGTCTCATAGTGTGTGAAGAGTCGTAGAGAATGAGTTGGTGATTTGATTCAGATTTGTCAAGATCGGTTTTTGGTTGCAGGAACAGAGAGGTGTGTACAGGAGAAGTGTGATATATACCGAAATATAATCTGAAAGAGCCTGAGAAGTATCTTTAGGCTAAGCGGCCAGGGAGAGCTATGGGCTCCTCAAAAATAAACGAGACGATGAAAAACTTACCTGAGTTGTTTGAAACTATGGTAGGTCGTGTGCACTAACTCAGGTCTAGAAGCGAGATGAGCTTGAGAATTGAATAGGAGTAGCGAAACTGTAACGATCAATCTAAACATTTTACTGATGTTACCAAAATATTATCCAATAGGGTTTCTATTCAGACACTACCATTATACGGGTGACGCTGGAAATTTTACCAAGTATCGAAGTAAAATATGCTCCATATATAAATCTTAGCAATAATATAATATTTGGATCATATATTTCCAGCATGAGATAAACCGATTAGCTATGGAAAACAAAATGTCGATATCGGTATTTTTGGGCGATTCCCCTTCTCAATTGAACGGCACGAGGAACTGATAAACTGTAGAAGCTTAAACCGTATCGCTTAATCTAGCCCTTTGCTCGAATTACCCGCAAACCTTGGCATTTTCAATTACACAAGCGCGCGTCACGAATCTTGCCTGTTACGTAGACTGCAGCTACGCCGCACGTGCTATAACTTATCCGCATCACCCCGGATTGCTCCAGTCATTGTATGAACCCATACATATTACTCTAAACTTCATAGACATAACAGTTTCAATAACTGCCACCTAATTGAGTTTATCCCCGAATCATGTCTTTGGCTGATACTACAGAAAACCTGCCGTTAGCCGCCGCGTCCGATTCGCTTCTCGACGATTATGATTTTGCCCGCAAGTACCCAGAGCAAGACACATCGCCCACCTCAAAGCAGGAGATCTTTGGCTGGTGCTGCTACTCGTGGTCCTCTGAGCCGTTTATCGTGTCTGCCGTGGGGACGTTTGTGCCGTTATTGCTTGAGCAGTTTGCGCGACTCGCCGGGTTCAGACTCGACGATAACACAAAGCCTTGTGTCAGCGCCCCCGAAACCGACAATCCCATTCCGCCGGGCCTTGCGCCACCAGGCCTTATACCGCCAGGCTCGGACAAATGTGTGCTCCCCCTCTTTGGTCATTTTATAATCGACACTTCGTCGCTCGCGCTCTACACCTTTTCGGCCTCCATCTTCCTCCAAGCGCTCATTGTGATCAGCATGTCGGGAATGGCGGACCGCTCGCACTTTCGCAAAAGCATTTTGGTAGTATTTGGGATCCTTGGTGCGCTCACCACCATGGCCTTCCTCGGAGTCTCGTATAAGCACTATATCGTGGCCAGTTTGCTCGCGATGCTCGCCAATTGCTGTTTTGGCGCGGTAAATGTGTGCGGAAACGCCTTTTTGGCGATTTTGGTGTCGAACTACCCCCAGAACTCGGTTAAAGTCGGCCGTGATGGGGAATTTATTACTGAGGCAAACATCTCTGATACTAAAAATCAGTTGAGCTCGCAGATCAGCGGCACCGGCGCCGCTTGTGGCTATACTGCCGCGCTTGTGGCTCAGTTGATCGCTATCCTTATTGTCAAGAAGTTTTCCAACCCAGTTCTGGGGTCATCTACCTTTGCCATACAGGCAGCTATCTTCTTCATCGGCTGTTGGTGGCTCGTCTTCCAGATTCCTGTGATCCTTTTGATGCGCCTGCGTCCAGGGCCTCCGCTCCACCTAGACGAAACTGAGCTCTCGCACAAGTCCTCCTTTGGCTCTAGTCTCTACCGTTTAAGTCAGTACACGAAGTACGGCTGGGTCACGCTTGCACAAACGGCGATGCACGCGCAGAAGTTGCGGCAAATCATGATGTTTTTGCTAGCGTGGTTCTTTGTTTCGGACTCTCTCACCACTATCAATTCCACTGCCATCCTCTTTGCGCGTTCCAACCTCCAGATGGACACCACGCAGTTGGGTATTGTAGGCTTGTTGACAGTTATGTTTGCCATTCTCGGCTCGCTCGTGGTGCCGAACTTGATCCGCCGTTGTGGACTCCTGGCCAAGAGCGCGTTGTGCGGGGCCGTGGCGTTGGCCTGTTTCATCCCGTTGTACGGGATTGTTGGCTTTTTCACCACAAGCTTCGGGCTTCACCACGCCCCGGAAATGTTCATGTTGGCGATGATCTATGGAATTGTGCTTGGTAGTGTCGCCACGTTGACCCGCTCCATCTTTTCTACGCTCATCCCCGTCGGTTTGGAGAGCACCTTCTTTTCGTTGTTCGCTGTTACGGATAAGGGTAGTTCTGTGATAGGGCCTATCATCAGCGGCTTGATTGTGGATTCCACCCATGAGTTGCGCTACTGCTTCGTGTGGCTTCTTTTCGGGCTTTTGGCGGGGCTTGCCATTTTGTGGTGGGGCGTCGATTTAGAGCAGGGGGTACGGGATGGTGAGGCATTTACTGAGGAGGCTTAACACGAAGTATAAATTATCTAACAGAAATTTCCAGTCCTGAAATGTCCCCCCGAATTTACAGCCTATAAATATATTAGTTCGAATTATTTTCTACATGATGAAGCTATACCAAATCGTAGATCTCATTATCCACAAAAAAATAACATGTATTTGGCTATTTTATGGGTTTTGGGGGCCTTGGCTTGGCTTACCATGGTGGTTAGCTCTTTTTCAATAATTCGGTGGTGACCATTCATTGTAGCTGAACAAAAGGCCAAACTATCATATATATATGGGTCAGCTGTCCCGTTGATTAAATGATTACAATTGATATTGTTCTATTTAATTCAGAAAAATTGATTTATCAGAATAATGACATATATTTGAAGTTTCTTTTGTGAGCGAATAACAAGCACCCTGAGGCTTTTAAGCGGAGTTGTAGTTCCATACCGTACCCGAGCAAGGTTTTTACATCCTGTGAATAATGCTTCGGAAAACTGAAGATCAAACCAATTCAATAGAACGTTGGAATACTTTGACGGTTTATTATTGGTGTTCCCAGTTTCTAAATTGATAAATGGTATATTCAAGTAACTGTAGTAGATCATAGATGCTGATAGTTACTGAAGGTCCTGGACTATTCTAATGTGCATCCTCTACGATCAAAATACTCGGTTAAGCATAGTTTAGTGATCTAAAAATACTCTTAATACCATCTTTTATTTTTATTTTTTATTTTTATTTTTTAATTAAATTATTAAAATTCACCCCGGGAGGTTTAAATTGGTTGTAAGTAGAGAAAACATGGTTTCTCCAGATGTCATTCAATTTGATTTAACAAAACGTGGGAAGCGAAATCAATCTTTATCCTGTACAGAATGACTGAACATATAGGTCCATATCTGATTATAGTAACACGCGGTCAATGAATACGAATCATTGTCCCTTATATAAAAATACTGTCCTTTTGACTAGGTCAATACTATGTGACCTGATAGAGAATGATACGCACGAGAAGGCACAACTTTAACGCCGTGTTGTTGCTGGTCAATATCTTCTGTCTGGAATATCCCTCCATGCCGGATGACTCATTGATGGACCTGATACTTTGAAAGAAGGCCTGAAAACACAACCCCCACTCGAATCACATCTATTGGGATTAGTCATAATACATTATATTGTATTATTCAAGTTTTTTTTAAAAAAATATTGCCGGGGCATTTCCCCTAACTGAAGCATCCATGAGTCATTGTGATGCACATTTCCCCTCCTTCTATTGGGTTATTTCTTCTGCTGATACTCTCTGAATGAAAGTGATATATAACGTATATCTTGCCCAACTTTTGTATACCCAACCATAAACCAGTATCACAGGCCTTTTATACGGTTACCCGCCAAAATATTTTGTGCAGGATTTTTTCGACGTCACTTTGCTACATAAAAATATCCAACCGGCGCCCAATTATCTTTTCCTCAAGCTATTCCCATCTATCCCACTATGTCCAATCTTCCAGAACAAGTACAGGACTTGAAGCTTTCTCAGGAGAATGTGATTCTCGGTGCCGACGGACTCCCATTGTCCAAAAAGGCGTTGAAGAAGCTCGAGAAGGAGGCCGAGAAGGAAAAGAAAAAGGCTGAAATCGCCGCCAGAATCGCGCAGGAACAAGCCGAGAGAGCTGCAAAGGCTTCCGCCGACGATTTTGCCAAGGCCAGATACGGTAAGATGGCCATGAACAACTCTTCGTTCAAGACCGGTGTCCGGCGCGTGAAGTTGGACACCTTGTCTGCGGCTAACGACGGCCAGGAGGTTGTCTTCAGAGCTAGAGTCAACAAGTCGCGCCAGCAGGGTGCCACCATGGTGTTCCTCTCGTTGCGCCAGCAGACTGAGTCTATCCAGGCGTTGGTCAAGGCGGATGAGACCACCATCTCCAAGCCTATGGTCAAGTGGGCTTCCTCCATCAACTTGGAGTCCATTGTGTTGGTGCATGGTATTGTCAAGAAGGTTTCCGAGGAAATCAAGTCTGCCACCATCCAAGACGCCGAGATCCAGGTCACCAAGATCTACACCATTGCTGAAACCCCACAGCAGTTGCCTATGTTGATTGAGGATGCCTCCAGATCCGACGCCGACGCCGAGGCTGCTGGTCTTCCGGTGGTCAACTTGGACACCAGATTGGATTCCAGAGTGATTGACTTGAGAACTGTAACCAACCAGGCAATCTTCAAGATCCAGGCCGGTGTGTGTGCGTTATTCAGGGAATTCTTGATGAAGAACAACTTCACGGAGATCCACACCCCAAAGATCATTGCGGCTGCATCTGAGGGTGGCTCCAACGTCTTTGAGGTCTCGTACTTCAAGGGCAAGGCCTATCTCGCACAGTCGCCACAATTGTACAAGCAGCAATTGATCGCCGCCGACTTTGAGAGAGTTTTCGAGATTGCGCCAGTCTTCAGAGCCGAAAACTCCAACACCCACAGACACATGACTGAGTTCACCGGTTTGGATCTCGAGATGGCGTTCGAGGAGCACTACGACGAGGCCATTGACATGTTGGCCGACTTGTTTGTCTTTATTTTCTCTGAATTAAAAACCAGATACGCAAAGGAGATTGCTACCGTCAGAAAGCAGTTCCCTGTGGAAGAGTTCAAGGTCCCAGCCAGCGGTGAGATGGTGAGATTGCACTTCAAGGAGGGTATCCAGATGTTGAGAGACGCCGGTAAGGTCGTGGACGACTTCGAGGACTTGTCCACCGAGCATGAAAAGTTCTTGGGGAAGTTGGTCCGCGAGAAGTACGACACAGACTTCTACATCTTGGACAAATTCCCATTGGCCATCAGACCATTCTATACCATGCCAGATGCTGAGGACCCACGCTACTCCAACTCCTACGACTTCTTCATGAGAGGCGAGGAAATTTTGTCGGGTGCCCAACGTGTCCACGACTCTGAGTTTTTGAAGGAGAGAATGGCTGCACACGAAGTTGACTCTGACGTGCCGGGCCTCAACGACTACATCGAGGCCTTTTCCTACGGCTGTCCTCCGCACGCCGGTGGTGGAATTGGTCTCGAAAGAGTCGTCATGTTCTTCTTGGATTTAAAGAACATCAGAAGAGCATCCTTGTTCCCACGTGACCCTAGACGTGTCCGTCCATAGGTTTGTAATTAAACAAGTTATTCAGAGGAGATTTGAACAATGGTTAATGGAGTTGGCGTAAGCAGTTGGCGTATAAGTTGGAAAAAATTATATAGCTAAGGATGTCGCCAGTACATCGGTGGATGGGTTTTTTAGAGAGTCAAGCACGGGGAGAATTTCTAGGCGTACATTACCTTTGAATAAATATGGTCCATATACTTATTTCGAGTTGTTGTTAGCCACTCACATGCAACAGGAATAATAAGTGCTTGGATATTTATCCACGGCAAACAAGTCACCCAGTTTTTTGTTGAAACATTTAACTAACCGAACTGTATTGGTAGGGTTCGAGTATGTTTACTCCCCGTAAGGAATACAGAGAATCGGTCATAAACTTATCGGATTTTTCTACGGCCATTGCTCTATTAGCGAGGGAAATATATAGAGAGGTTGCGATTTATCATTCCACTAAATAGGTGGAGTTAATAATTGTCTTACCTAGCCACTGTTTTAGCCAAGCGTAACCAGTGATCGGTTCAGGATTCAATGCAGTAAGCCCCGATAAGATGCACCCGTTAAGCACCCCTCTAAACACCTACTAACTATAAATTCCGACGTTATATGTCTACAATATGTTACATTATTTAACATCCTTTAATATTCGACGATTATCCCTTTCTTTTTCCCCAGTTATAGTGGCTCGTTCTGTTTGATACTGGCAAGCGCTGCTCAGAATTATCATGGTAACCCCCCATGTCGCTGACCGCTTCTGACTAGGCCGAATTTAATGCTATCTAACCTGAAACTCCTGCACGTGATGAGCTCCATACTGACCCACACGTTGTTTCTCTCTACCATTTACCACTGTTTGACAAACATTCGGTAAATATCAAAAACTTCGAATATAAAATAACCCCTCTTTGTCAATGCTCCTTCATATGTGAAATATCTACTTTATGGTCCTTCCCCGCCAATTATACAGTGAAAGACGCAAAGCGAGACTCGTTTTTCCTGCAGTACGCTGTCAAAAAAAAAGTCTCACGTTACTGAAAACAATCGGTAGCTCTTCTTTAACCGACACAACCGCCACTCATTATGACCAACGTAGGAGGACAAGAAACTCCGAAAAGCGACACAGCCACGTTTTACTACAAATCCGGCACGTCGCTGCCGTTCCGCCAGGAGCTTGAGATAAACTTGCACAAGCCGTTGGCACCTAGAAGCCCACCCACGCCACAGCTCGAAAAGCAGATCAGTAGCGCCGATACATTCACTAATATCCTCAAACAACGTTCCGCCGTGTACAAAGAAACGGCCATGGTGGTGCTCGACGTGCGCGGCAAGGAGTTTTCCGCCGTGACGTGGGATAAACTCCTCGCGCGGGCCGAGGCCATTGGCCTGTACCTCCAGAACAAACATAAGCTTCCGCGAGGCGAGCGCATCTGCTTGGTATACAAAAATGATGAAATGATTGAGTTCACTATGGCGCTCATGGCATGCTTCATGGGCGGCTACGTCGCCGTACCCATTCCGCACTACGGCAAGGAAAAGGACATATTCGAAATGATGAACCAATCGGTACCGTCGCTTGCATTGCTCTCGGACACCGCTAGCAAGCGCTTTGACACGCTCAGGGAGAATTTGGGTGCGGGTAACTACCCATGGCCGCTGCGAATGAAGTTCCTCAAGGCCAGCAGCGTAGCCTCGTCCAAGACGTTCACGCCCAGGGAGCACGAGCTCGCATATGTCGAGTTTTCCAAATCGCCCAGTGGCGAATACAAGGGTGTGGTACTCTCTCACAAGACACTCTTTCACCAGATGCACACGATCGAGACGATAGTGTCACTGCGACCGGGCTTGGAGCACCCTATCCGCCGGTCTCTTAAGGGATTTTCGCGGCACAAGCAAGTGGTTCTCTCGACTCTATCGCTGCTCTCCTCTGTCGGGCTCATCATCGGCTGCTTGTTCCAGATCTACACCGGAAACTTACTCGTGTGGGCACCGCAGGAGGTAATGGAGACGCCTGGGTTGTACGCCAACATTGTCACGCGACACCGTGTCAACGGCTTGCTCGCCGACTACATCGGGCTCAAGGAGGTGATCTTTGACTACCAGAGACGGCCGAACGAAACACGCACGTTCAACAACAAGGTAAAGGTGGACCTTGCATGCGTAAAGTGGTGTCTTGTGAACGCCTCCACGATCGACGGGGAGTTCCTCAATCTCGTGTCTGAGCGGTGGTTGCGACCGCTCGGGTGTACGTCTCCACAGACCGCAGTCTGCCCCATGCTCACGCTCAGCGACTTTGGCGGGATGGTAATCGCGATGCGTGACTGGTTGGGCCCCGTGCCGGAGCTGACTGTGTCAAAGGCAGAAAGCTCGGAACTATCGGAAGTGATGATTGACCGCAAGGCGCTCATGCACAACATGGTGAAACTCGTCTCTACCAAGGTCAGCCCATCCCAGAAAGACACATCTACGGCATTGCGCATCGGTTCCTTTGGTCACCCAATCCCCGACTCCACTCTTGCGATTGTGAACCCCGAGACGTACATCCTCGCTAACCGCATGGAAGTTGGGGAGATTTGGATCGACAGCTTGTGTCTCTCCGGAGGCATGTTTGAGGGATTTAATGCCAAGATCCGCGCCCAGAATCAGGCCATCTTCCATGCGCAGTGCTTCGACGAAAATGGGCTCATCAACAAACAGTTCTTGCGAACCGGGTTGTTGGGCTTTACTCATGATGGTAAGCTATACGTTATCGGGCTCTATGAGGACCGAATCCGCCAGAACATTGACCCCAAAGACACTGGTCCACTCGCCGCCGTGGCCGAGCGCGACGAAGAGGGCAACGAGCTTATGTTGGGAAATGGCAGCACCACCTACCACTACACATACCATCTTTCGTCCACCATTGCCGAAAAGGTGCGCGAGGTGTACGATTGCACGTTTTTCGACCTTAATATCAACGACGAGTACCTTCCAATCGCCATCGTCGAGACCAACATCAACGACACGTTCATGCCATCCATGGACCTTTTGCTAGACACCTTGGACGGCGTGTGTCTGAAGGTGTACCAGGTGTTGCGCAAGACACACAACTTGCACCTCTACTGCGTGATGGCCACAGAAAAGAACGAGTTGCCGCGGATCCTCCGCTCCGGGGGTAATGAGATTGCCAACATGATCAGTAAGCGGTTGTTCCAGGACGGGAACTTACGCAAGGCGCACTTTGTCAAGTTCGACTTCAAGAGCTCGTTGACCAAAATTCCCTGCGGCGACGACCTCATCGGGGGCATCTGGTCTCCCTACTCGTCGTTTGCGCGAAGTGCGCGCTTGCTGCTGCACCTGATGCAGGTGTCATCCATCGACTACCGCGAACACACGCTCGACGCAAAGTACAAGGCCCGTTTGACAGACTTCAAGTCCATTCTCGACATTCTCAAGTTCCGCTTCGGTAGCCAGGGCGACGAGGCCGCGTTCCACTACATCGGGTCGTCCGAGAAGGACAACGTCAAGATCAGCTGGAAGAAACTCGAGGCGTACATATACGGGGTATGCACATACATCTTGACCAAGACGCCGCTCAAATCTGGCGACCACGTCATCTTGATGTACTCGCTTTCCATCGACTACATCGTTGCGGTGTATGCATGCTTCATGTTGGGCATGGTGCCAATTCCTATGACGCCATTCGACTCGCAGCGCTTGAAGGATGAGTATCCCGCATTCATCGCCACGATCAAGAGCTACGGTGTGCGTGCGTTGTTTGTCAACGACGACATCGAGAAGTCGTTCAAGTTCCACGCGCTCGGCGACGCACTTAAGCGTACCGCTCCGAATTTGCATGTGAAGAGCACTTCTGGGCTTCACAAGACCAAGCCAATGCACTCCGGAAAGCTCCATGCGATGATCGCCGATTACCAGGCCAAGGCGCGCTTCCGTGACGAGGAAACCATGTGTATGATCTGGCTCCACCCTGAAATGCGCAACATCGGTGCCGCCATGAACCACAAGAGCCTCGTGGGTTTATGCAAGGTGTTTAAGGAGACGTTTGAAATGGCAAACGACCCGATGCTCGGCTGTGTGCGTCACTCGTCCGGAATTGGCTTCTTGCAGAGTGTGTTGATGGGCGTGTTTCTTGGCTCCACCACTTACTTGTTGTCGCCAGTCACGTTCCGTGACTACCCGTTGAGCTTGTTCATGGTGTTGTCCAAGTACAAGATCCGCGACACGTTTGTCACCAACAACATGTTGATGCACTCGGTGGCGCATGTGAAACTAGGCGCCTTTAAGTTGCACGGCTTGAAGAACATGATGGTGTACGATGAAGGAAGAACCAATCCGATCGACTTGACCCATGTGGCCAAGCACTTTGCCAGCTCAGGGTTGTTGTCCACCGCCATGGCCTCTGTTTACTCGCATGCGCTTAACCCGCTAATCGCGTCCCGGTCGTTCATGCCCAGTGCTCCGCTCAAGTTGTACCTCGATCCGGTCACATTGAGTAAAGGGATGGTGAAGCTAGTCAACCCGTCAGAGACCCCTTACCACATTGCGGTTCAAGACTCAGGCGTGGTACCGGTGTGCACCGAAATCGTCATTGTCAACCCGGAGACGTGCAAAATCTGCCGCGAAGGCGAAATCGGGGAAATCTGGGTGTGTTCGGAGGGCAACTTGACTTCATTCACAAACGGCACCACTGTGCCGAAGGACTACTTCCGGTTGAGTCAGCTCAACGGGAAGATTGTAGATGGAAACCCCCGGATGACATATCTCCGAACCGGCGACTTGGGGTTCTTGTACTCTCTAGATCTCAAGGGAGCTACCGGGAGCAAACCGGTTCAGCCGCTCTATGTGTTGGGGAACATTGCCGACACGTTCGAAAGTTTGGGCCTCCATCACTTTTCGTTTGACGTGGAGCAGACCATCAGCGACTCACACCGCAACATCTTCCGCAACGGCGTCTTCCGGTGTAACGGTTACATCATCGCGGTGGTCGAGACCGACAGAGAGCTGCACCAGGCCGCGTTGGTACCGGTTATCATCAACAAGGTGTTCACTAAACACCGATTAATCATTGACATTGTATCTTTTGTCGCCAAGAACACCCTTCCGTTGTCACAGTTGCGTATTTTGCAGCGCTCCAAGATCATTTCTTCCTACATTGGGAAGGAGAAGGAGGCAAAGCGTATCCCGCTTTTGGTGTCATTTGGGACAAACTATGGGGAACCGGCGATGGTCAAGGTGATCAAGGATATCGATGAGGTGCTCAACGCGAAGTCGTTCCCTCTGGACTCTGACCTCCGCCTCTCTACGTCGTTTGCTCTGGAATCCGAACTTCAGCTCGCCCCGATAGATAGCGAGATACAATCCATCTACAGCTCCGACTCCCGCTTGACACACAACACTGTCTCTCACAGCTTGCGGTACGCGCCATCTGAGACCACTGAGCTTGATGACGATTCCAGCAGCTTTGATTTTAGAGGGCCCTTACAGACTGATGACTGTTCGTTGACCCCTGCGGTCAGCGCAGATACCCCTGAGGACCAGTCGCTCCACGATTTTGACGAGATGGAATACAACTCTGAATCAGAAGATGAAATTTTAGAGTGGTATGGTTCGGATACTGGTAGCGTTGAAGAAAATTACGCCGGTCCAAAGCTTTCCGTGGTCAATGTCTAGGCTAAAAAAAAATATTAAGGTAGAAATCAATACAGGTGTACTGCATCGCTGGTCCGACTTGTAAGATCGGCTATGGGAAAGGTAGCGGCCATTGTTACGATTAGTTGCGGTAGTTTTTTGTCCTCGCAGATTTGCAGTGCTCCAAAAAGGGTCATGGAACCTCACCTACAGACTTTAGCTTCGTGCTATCAATCATATCTCGTTGAATTGGTCATGGTTAGTTGGATTCCTAGACGGCTTAAACCCCCCATAACTTGACAGTTCCGTCGTCGCCGGCCGAACACCATAACCAGCCGTGCTCCTTTTCGCTTCCGGCAACGTTCCAGTCCACACAGTTCACTAACAAACTTTGGTGCTCCTGTTCATTTACGATGTGGACAATGGAACCGTTGTACCTGTCCCAGAAAAAGATCCGTCCCTTTTCATCCCCCGATACAACCACCGACTCGTCCCAATTCCCAAATGAAGAATGGAGAACATATCTTTCGTGCCTGTGGCCGAGGTAGCGTTGGACGAGGTATGGCATGGCCGGTTCCTTGATCGACCAGAGCTGTAACTCGTTAGGAGATACGGACACCAAGATTTCAGCCGGATTGACAGCTGACCATACAACGCTCGTGATCTTATGGCCGATAGGAATACAGGCCACAAGGGGGAAGGACTCGGCGGTACAAGGCAACCCCGATGAAAGCGCAGCCTTATTAATGCCGTATACAAACAACTTGAAGTCATGGGTGATCATCGCCAAGTGCGAGCCGTCTTTGCAGAAGGAGATGTCGTCGATCCGCTGCTCATTAGACCATTCATACACAGGCTCCGTGCTCAGGATGGAGTAGAGACGGGTCACCTTATCGGGTGATGCGATCGCAAAGTGGTAGGTGGGGTCCAGGGGCAAAAACTCCACAATGAAGATCCGTCCGTTGGGGTTGATGTGGAACTCTTTGATGCATCTTACCGGGTGTCTTCCAAGGGCTGACACGTCCCAGAGCTTGGCACAGGCCTCCATGCCGCACGTGAGCAAGTACTTTTCGTCATAGGACCACGACACACACATGACAGCCTTCTTGTTGTGCGCCGGCGCGGAGTCAGAAGTGTGGTGGGTATTTCCAGCTCGCTGGATGCCCGCGGTGGAAGGCCAACGGCTGGGTACGGGGTGGAATGCCTGGGAGGCCCAGTGCTCTCCCAAACTGCTCAGCTCTTCTGTATCGTTGGTTTGGGTATCCGCTGACCCTGCCAGCTCGTTTGCATGTTGTTCGTTGGAAATCCTGGCCACCACCTTGAAGTCATGCATAACGTCATAGATGATGATGTGTGCATCTAGCCCCGCACTGGCAAGATACCGTCCAGATGGCGAAAACTTGACGAACCAGACCTCGTCGGTGTGATGTTTCAATGTAACCTTAGCAGTAGCAGGGAATTGCTGTGCTTTGGGGGTTTCGGGGGAATATAAGGAGTGGGTTCCGTGGGCACGTTTGTCCAGGGCTGGCGGTGGGTGAAGCGTAAAATGCTGCGCTCTTTTCCACTTCAAGGCCTGCGTAAGCAACGTCGGAAGCATTCCCGCGGGCAATTTGTCTTCTGGCTTGACAAATCCGAGAATTGCGCTGACTGTTGCCTCCCGTGTCGTCTGAAGAGACTTCTCGCCGCAAGAAACCCACCCGTTCTGCGCCTGAAGCTGCGCCGAGCTAGGGTTCATCAAAAGCGAGGCTAATCCGGCAGTTTCATCGGAAATCGCTGTCGAAGGTGTATGGGGAATTGGCACAGACAACTTCGAGGGGGAAATCTCCTTTCTGAGGATTTTGAGCGCCACCGTCTCACGTTTCTCGTGCAACAAAACCTCCAAGAAATGCATCCGATGGATCAAGAAGCGAACGTAGGCTGTAAGGGTTTCATTAGAGGCTTGATAGGGCTCATCGTCCGAATATCCGACATAATCAATACCACTAGCGCAGATGAGCGCGTTCTCGTACTGGCCCGCTAGCACCGACTGGATGACCTGGTCCACGCGCGACTCAGCGTCTAGGCAAAGACCCGCTTCATCACGCAAGTGACTGGCAGCTTCCGGAAAGCCGAGCTCATTTAGCGCCTGATAGAGGATTCGTGATAGCTGATTTTTGTCAAAGCTAGCGTAGGCGGAGGGGGTGACGTGAGGAGGCGTGGAAGCGCTGGTCATATCACCAGGGCTATCGATTGGGGCCATCAGAAGGGAGGAAGAAATAGATTGAGGTAACGGTGCGAGGTACCAATAGAGAGGAGGGGGGGTGCTTAGGAGTTGAACCTGCGGTAACTGCAGAAGGATAAACAATAGTTTATGGACCGGGATGAGGAATAGTTCTGTGGTGATCGTTTTTATCCCCGCGATAAAGCGTCATATGAGACCGAAGCCGGCACCGTCCTTGTGTTGGGCACTACCTTTGGACTCTCAAGTTCGGGTTCAATGTATCAGTCTAGTTTCGTCAGTTTGTTATACTGATTAATGGTTATAAAAAAATATGGTTTTTCGATATATTTGGAGTATTGTTATGTTTCTAGATAAGTCCTGAGTCTGCGGCCTGAATGTAACGCTGTAGCCACGGTTGATAATTGCTGCAAGCGCTATATACTTGGACAACCCTACTTGTACAATACCCTCCACAATTATCCGTGCACAAACCTTTTCGAGCCCAATATAATAAATATTTCTTATTTATATGCATAATTCAAACCCGTAATTAATATCCCCTTCGTTTTTGCCTCAATGGAGGTTTCTTAGAGTCTGACTGGCACTATCGACAAACACGATACTCTTAGCGCTAGCTGAACCCCCGCCAGTCTTTGGGTCATTTAGCCTTTCTCGTGAATCCCCTCAACAGTTTAACAACCACTCGTAGACGTAGCCACAGGCGCTGACGCTGACGACGACCACGCTGAGCACAAACCCGAGCAACGGCAACATAAAGTCAGGTAAGTTGACCGCAGAGAGGAGCCAGCTCTTCAACGAGTGCCGGATAACGGCAAAGCTACCACCAATTTCCCCAACGTGTAGCATAATGCTCAATTCCGTGTCTAGATCGAATTCAGGGCGGCTTAGGTCAGCATATTCGCGGAGAGCCACGGCGTCGTGCTTGTAGCTCACGGTGATTAAAATCTTGGGAACCTGAACTGTGATGTCATGGTTGCGCTTGATGATCGGAACGTCCTCATACACGTACTGGTGGCTAATAAAGAAGTCAAACGGGTTCAACGCCTGCCAGCAAAGCTTGACAAGGAACTTCAAGTCACGGGAAGTTTCCGCAATGTCAGTGATATTTGCTATGTAGAAAAATGGGATCAAGTCGAGCTCGAAGGCCACAGAGTTGGAAACAGCATATGGCAATAATAGCTGATAGTCGGTGTTAGGCGAGAGTTTGGCTACGGCATTGTCGGGCTGTGGTAATTTGTAATGCTGCGATATGTTGAGATACTTGTTGTACTCCTCTTGCAAGAAGTCCTTTGGTATAGAGAGAAGGTAGGTTTCAGTGTTGGCAAGAACTAAGTGTGTGAAAAGTGTTAAGAAAATGGTATGGGAGATGTGCATTGGTAGAGTAGGTAACATAGAGCTTGGTGGTGAGTGTCTGATTTCAAATGATCGGGCTTTTTTTTTTCAGTGCAGATGATGAAATAGCCCAGAGTAAAAAAAAAAGGAGATAACAAAGAGAATCTCCAAGAATTAAACTCGGAATATTGGGTCAGGTAATTTATCTTGACGTTAATTTTCCGATAGAAAAAATTGAGGATATGACATAATCGGAATGAGATCTTGTGGAAGCTCAGGCCTGGATATTGTTTTTACATGTATCCTAAACCATGCATTAACCTCAGGTTAAGACAGGTGCAGCTCTGAGTATTGATATATTAAATAAATAAAACGGAACTTATCCCGGGGATATGAAAACGTGATGGTAACGAAAATAATACAGAGAACCAGCATACTGGTCTCCTACGTAGCGGTATCTATCCGCAATTGATGCTGAACAAAACCCATCGGGGTTCTGCTATGAGAATACTCCTCCCCCTTCTTAAGCCTTGACGTTGGTGAAGATTCTGCATGGGTATTTCTCCCAGTCATCCTCATACATACCATGAACATTCTCCCTTAAGATAGTCCATTTAACCTTGTTGAGCGACGGAGCGATGACCGGCTCACCCTTTGGACCCAAAACCTCACCGTTAATCAAGCCAGACTTGTTCAACTTGACCAAGGTGGAGGCCAAAGAAACGTCACCCTCCTTGAAAACAGCCAACTGCTTGAACCCCTCGTCACCCTTGGCAACTCTCGGGTTGGATGCGGAGCCCAACTCCAACAACCCAGATAACTTGGACTGGTTGAAAGAGGACATCTGTGGGTAGTTTCTTCTGTGGTCTCTATTTCTGTAGGCATTGCTCTTGATATCACCCGCTGGAATGGTGGTTGGGTCCACGTAGGTGATGGCCTTAGGGTGAGAGCCTGGCGGTGGGACCCTATAGTACTGGACCAACGGGTTACCGGAGGATCTGTTAGGAACCAAGGTCAAGACCTGTCTAATCTTTTCCCAGATACCGGTGGAACCGGTGGTGTATTTCTTAAAAACTGGAACTGGACCACCAGACATGTTGCGTATATGTGATAATTCGTTGGGTGGGTGTAGTAACGCGGGATTGTTAATGTATGCAGCTTTAACTACGCTGTAATTATTTCGTTTGTCTACAATTGGATGGTTTAGACGGTTACCCGGAGAGACCACTCGAGGATGTAGTGGTTGGTGCACGCACTATCTGGTGTGGCTGTTAGTACACATTTATCGTTCATACTCGCAGACACGAGCTTCAAGGTTCAAGAAAGGGTGTTTGAAGAAATTTAAATCTATAGCATTATGGCCCTAATGATATGGGGGACAAAACTCGGGGGGTTTCGCTTTTGGCGGTGAAATAGTCTTGCTCTAAGAAGCTCTTGGTGGGGGGTCATACCCTAAACGTATATTACCCATAAGGATTAAGACCGCCTCGATCGGTTCAAAAAAGGAAATGCCATAAATGGCCAGATGTCTCTCTAAGCCCGATATTGAGACATCCTGGACCATAATATCAGAACTTCTCTACTTTACAAAGAGCTCTAATTACGCGAAAGGATACGAAGTGCTAAACTCTAATCCCCCGCACATATCTTCAAGTGTAATTACACCTCGCCCCTAGGAGTTAACTTGTTTTTTTTTATTAAGCTTATTGGCTAGCAATCCTGAGTTCTTTCAAAGAACTCATAAAATCTTACACGCTTAGTTCTTACGCTTGGAAGCGGTGGTGGAGGCCTTCTTGGCACCGGAAGTCTTAGCATCACCTTCTACTTCCACAATCTTTGGCTCCTTCTTAACTGGCTGCTCGGCAGGACCGCCAACCAAATAGTACATCAAGGTGGACCACAAGCCAAACACCAAGGTGAACGACCCAAGGAAAGTGGATACGTAGTACAACGCCTCCATGTATCTGGTGGACAAAACAACGACTGGGTCGTTGACAAACTCGTTAGCAAACTGCTGAGCGTCTCTAGAGTAGCTAGTGACGAATGCGTAGGCGTTGAGCAAGTGTCTCTTGACCACGTTCTCCTCGGTCTCGTAGTCGGCCTCATCGTATAAACCCTTTGGAGGCTGTTCCGGGGCGTTTGGCGCCCTTGGAGCGTTTGCCTTCTGGTCATCTTCCTCCAACTTGGTCTTCTCAACGAATGTGGCGTTACCCAAAGTCTCGGCATCCTCAATAGAATGACCCAAGTAGATGTTGTCGAACAAAATGTCACCCTCCATGGTCCAGAGCTCGAAGCCGAGACCGCCAATGAGGCCCACATTCGATGGCTTGATGTCTTCGAAGTATTCTGGGTTCTCAATCTCCTGTGGGGCCCACTTGCCTTGGAATTCTGGGTTAGTGATGTATGGCTGCACCCACTTGCCCTTGTACTCTGGATTGGCCATCATCAAAGGTTTGAACGGACCGCAGCCGGCAATTTCAAAGCATACCGGGTTTGGAATTTCCGGCGCCAACCACTCACCATCCTCTTCATCGTCCCAGTCTTCCGGCTTCTCGGCCTCTGGGTCCACGATGTAGAACGGTTCGTCCTCCTTCCAGCCCTCGGGCATGATGGAGGATGGATCGCGAATCAACGGTGGAAGCGACTCGTCCCAGTCGTCCGGCTTTTCGGCCTGGTCTGGGTCGGGAATCTCCTCGCGCTCATCCCATGACTCTGGCTTCTCCTCGTCTGGGTCCGGGATGTACTTTGGTGGGTTCAACGGTGGGTACAAGTGGTCCTGTTCCAAGAAGTTGCCCGCGATCGCAACCTCCCCGTTGATTCTGATTTGGAAGTCCTGGTTTGGCTCGATGATCAACGTGTAGAGGACCGAAGTCTTCTGGATCTTGGCCTGCGGCGGCGACCCCAAGTGTCTCTCGATGATCTCACCGGTCACAGGGTTTGGACGCTTGATGATCAAGTGCACCTTATTAGTGGCACCACACTTGTCTGGGCCGAACATGATCTGGTATGGAGTTTCGCCGTCAAACTCGTCAGCATCCTCGCCGTGGAAGCCCTCGGCAGACAACAACTTGACGTACGCCCCGCCGCAGACCAACCCGTTCTGCAACTTCACCTCATACTGCATCACCAAGGTGTTGTCCGTGTTGTCGAACGGCTTTGCGAGCTTGTGGGAAATGGCGTGGTGGGCAGCCGGGGTCTTCAACACCAACCCCTTATCGTTCTTGAACCCTGGGTACACCGATGGCTCCTCGACGGCAAACTTACCGACATACGCGAATTCCGCGTCTTTTGTAGCGTGTGAGACCTTCCAGACCTTGGCCAATTCAGCCTCACTTTCATAGGTGAACTGGTCCAAGAAGTGGTCCTTCTGGGCGAACTTGGATTCGTCAAACGGGGTGAAGGAGGGGTGGGAAGATTCAGCGGCCACAGCGGCAGCTAACGCCATAATGGCTGTTGGAGCAAGTGAATTGAGCTTCATGATTAGTGGTGGAAGGGTGATTGATGGAAGAAGAGGTATCGGTAAATCCGAGAAATAGGAGACGTGTCGTATAAATGCTGCAAATCTCCACGTATGCGTAAATGATGCGGGCCACGTGACAAAGTCTCGAAAATTCCACGAAATTAAGTGGTATGCATAGATCGTATACTGCACAATACGAGCGGGGGCTTACCTACTACCCCTTTTTCGTAAACGTCATAAGTCAATTCGTTGACTCACGGTTTGCTGCCAGTCAACATGAAATGATCTAAAATGTTTCTGAAGCGTAGCTGTGGCTCGGTATGTATTCCGAAGATGGTATGCATACACGTCATACCTGGAATATACGTCTCCGGTAGTTATTTGTCAGTCCGAATGATACGCGCTGAGTCTTATAAGCTACATTCAAGTTATCGTTAAAATAATACACGTATTGAGCAAAATGGCCCCTATGCATTTAGGACTATAGTTTCTGGATTAGTGAATTTTCGGTGTCTTGGGAAAAGGGGAGTAAGACTCCTCATACGACAGATCCGGAAGACGGCACAATTTTATGGCTATATATTGTGTAAGAGACATTGAGTGATTGCAGACGCTTTCAACAAAGACCTGATCCAGAAGCCAGCACTCTAATGTTATTAGTTTTAGTACTAATATACATGAATTGATATTCCGTTCAAACCCACAAATTTATGACGGTAGGTATCTGACAAATGCTAATATACAAATAAATGTCGACATGCCTAGACATACCTAACATTCGGTTTCTTCAAGCAAGGCAAAGGCATTCCTTGGAGCGGCATACTTCTCCAGTTTTTCCACTGGCTCGGCACCGGTACCAAAGAACTCAGCGACGTACTTGTCTTCCTCCATTTTTTCGGTAACCTTCTCGTCCTCAGAATCTTCATCCACAAGGTCGCCGTCCTCTCTGAACAAGTTCGCCAAGTAGAAGTTTTCAGTCTTGATGGACTTGTTGATAGAGTCCCATCCGGACTTTCTGGTGGTCTGTACGCTTCTGGATCTTTCAATACTTTGCTCAATCTTGGTACTCAATCTGCCCTCGAGCTTCATGAACTTAGTCTGTTTCTGCTTCATGTACGAATGGTTGGCTTTTGGGTTCTTGGACTTTTTAGAAATACCGGCACCGCTTTCATAGTTCTTCTTCGCCAACTTGGCAGACAACAAGTCTTCGTTTTTGGTGATGGTATTTCTGATGATACTGTTAGCCACATTGGTCTTTTCGGAGCGCGGTAATTCAGACAAAGACTGAGCTTCAGGCTCCAAATCAATCTGGGCAACGTCACCTCTACGGGCGGCTCTACTGTGTTTGGAAACTGGGAGGGTAAGTTAGTCTATGCAAACTGCAAAAACGATTCCTGGACGAATAACATACTCTTCTTGGCCATTTTTGTGTATAGAAGACGGTTGTAAGTCCACAGGAATCTTCTCAGGTATACAAAGATCTGAAAATTTTTAATGTCCCCCTCCTAACGAAAAGAAAGGAAACTATTTTTTCGCATGCATGAGATGAGCACTATCCGGCACGTTGCCCTTTATCTCTACTCACGGCACAAAGTGTAAGCCACGAAAAATTCTACTACAGGGTATTGAACCATTGATAATATACTGCTTGGTTACTTGTTGGTAATATAGGACATTGTGTAGTCTATTTCCCTCCATCCCTGTTATTATTTCGCAAAGACACCCAAGTCTGAAACTCACTTGATGATTTACGTGCTTGTCACGTGCCATCTGCCGCTACCTCTGTCTTCTAAATATGAGACAAACAGAAATGGATGACGGTGGACCCTTTACGGTCTAAGCTGATTTAAGACACCACTCATACAGGACGTATTAGACCCGGACTTGTTTACTTCGCCTCCTACACATATCTCTTGGACATCCCTTCTTTGCTACATATCTCTATAAATCGCCCAAAGTCTTCATCAGGCGTTGTCTACCTCGTCATTACTCCAAGCACCACGCCAACGCCTTGCCCCATAACTAAAACACCCAAAGACAAATGGCTGCGCCACATATAAACGATGGAAAGTCTTCCGATAAACCCCTTCTGCGAGGCTCCTCGCGTGAGCTTTCAGTTCAGCCCAAATCGTTGAAAGACAACAACCGCTACGAAACCTCCGTTTCGCAGTCTCCCATATCTCCTCTTTCCTTGTTGCTGCGGGCCGTTATACCTTTAATTATGTTTATTTTAGCTTACTGGATCTTAACCAGCTCCACTGACCCCTATACCTCTCTGTTTGTGGGCACATTGGCCAGACAGTATTTTTATGGTGAGAGGCTCGCCTTGAGTGCTTCCGGGGCTCACGCCACAACCTTAACTGGTCCCATCTTTCTGAATTTCGATTTTGATCCAAATTCTCCTTTCCCTGTGGAGATGGGTGAGAGTGCTATGGTTCTAGTAGTTGTGGTGGTCATTTTTACGGTTTTAATGATGTAACACTCCGTGCCCCTTGCCCTTCGTAGGACAGTTTCTGATAGCGCTTCATTAAAGAGTCTTGTGGCACTGCACGCTTTTGAGTGGATTCATTTCCTCGCATCTCCGATTTATAATAAATTTTATATCCGTAGTAAGGGTGCCATTTAACTAGATGAAAGTCGGCATCCATTATCTCCTTACCTCCGATAAGCGGACACCCTGGCATCGTATCCGCCTCAGTATATAAGGCCACCGACTATCCTTCTCTTGTGTATATCTTGCAGATGAAAAGTATTCTCTTTTAGCTAGCTAATAATATCCATTATCGCCTACTAGATATACCACAAAAGTCGTTCTTTAATCTTCTCAAGGCCGCAAGAAAACCCCCCAAGACCCCCGTGCGAGGCTGAACTACGAACCAATCATGGATGGTGTAAATTAAAAGTCGAGATTAAACCGAGTGATATTGAAAAATTAGTAAGGACTCTAGGAGAAAATAGGACATGCGCCTTTGAGATGCCGATATGCCTCACAGCTTCAATTGCAGGAGGCATCACGGTCCTGAAAAACACAACGAACTCCTACGTGGTGGCTTTCGAAGACACCAGCGAAGGAAGTGGCATAGATGAAGAACGGATATGAGATTAAGAGAGGTAAACAAGAGGAAAAGAATGGATAGCAGTCGTACCGCATTTTTCAGATGTCAAACTTAAAGCAACAACACGGCGGCAACAACGGCACCACCTAAACCCAAGCCAGCAGAGACACCCTTGGCGACAGCAGCGTTGGCGGTAGAAGAGGTGGTGGAGTTGGTAGAGTTGTGGGTCGTGTTGGCAACAACGGCCTTGTGGACGGCGGTAACGACAGCGCCAGAAGATGGGTCGATGGTCACAGTAGAGACGTGGATTCTGGTGTGGTCGAATCTCCCCCACTTGTGGGTACCAGTTTCGGAAGTGGTTGGAGCTGGCTTAGTCTTGTCAAATCTGCCCCATCTGTGGGTACCACTTTCGGAGGTAGTTGGAGCTGGCTTAGTCTTGTCAAATCTGCCCCACTTGTGGGTGGTGGATCCAGTGACAGTGGTGGTGGTGGTGGTGTCAACGGCGGCGGAGACAGAAGCAACAAGGCCCAAAGCAATTAAAGGAGTAGCAAACTTCATTTTCAAATTGATATAACTATGCTTGTATAAACGTATATGGAGAAAGAGAAAGAGAGAAGTCGATATAAATTGGTTCCTATTTTTTCCCTATTGCCCGAAGAAGGAGTCGATTTTTTCCCTCACCACCAACAGAAAAAAAGAAACGTGCATAGTAAACAGTATTCAGCAAGGAGATTAACAATCGTCCACTTTGGGGGAGAGGGATTTAAGGTCGCGCGCGGAAAAAGAATCCGTACCTCTCCGAAACGTGCTGGATGCGCCGGCCGGATAGGGGAACTTACTATCCGCAACAGGGGAATGTCACGTGTACCCGCGGGGACAGTATTTATTTTCCCTCAAATTGCCGCACTCATTAACGCCGTAGCGAGTACTCTTATTTAGGAAGTTTACCAGGTTTGAGTTTTATAAGCGCAGCTTCGAGTCCCAGCCTTAAACACAGGTTGTGTTCCCTGACTCTGTCTTGCTTAACCGTAATGATTCACTAACCTGGTTGCATTTGAGAGCGCTCTAGTTCATACTCAATACGTGAGAGATGGTTGGACACTGCGGTTGACTGGATAGGTTTTTCGAGGCTCGGCAGCGATCATGGCTGCCGTACAGGCCACTTACCACACATCTGCCGGATATAGAAGAGCGTTTATGTACGTACTCGTGTGGTGACACCATCTCCAAAGCATCGACCAATAAGCTCGAGTACACATCTCTAGCTATGCAACAGATACTTCCTATAACCTGTTGGACCTCTAAGCCGTCAAAATATCGCATACTCCCATATTGGCATTAGGTAAGTGCCTCTCTTTTTTTTTCGGTAGCAGATTCCAACAGTTTCCACGACATACGGTTTCAGTAAATAGCTATCCACGTAGTACAACCTAGGTACTACAAGAAATATTCTTGAATGTATGGATAAACGTTTATCTCATTTCTACCGGTGTATCATCGTAACATGTCGCATAGCTCGGTTATAAGGTAAAAAGGTTCCGTAAATCTTATTAGACATAAATTAGATTTATACATCCCATCTGTTTTGCTGGTTGGGCGCATTTCTGGGGTCTCCGAAAAAGGCTTCGGTGTTTGGCCTTTGAGAAGTAGGATTCGAATACAGAGGTGGAGGCTGGGTGAAAACATGGAAATCCGCTTGTTGGCTGGACTGCGCTGTATATGACAGGTAGTACGGCATATATTGATTTGGAAGAATAAACGACGGGTCAAATGGAGTTGGAGCTTGGGAGATAGCGTGCGGGTTTATGTGGGGCAGGTAGGTTCCAAAAGGGTGGTAAATGGTTTGTTGTAGTTCGCGTGCCGGAGGGTAAGCCTGTTCGATCGTTGCTCTCTGGAAATGGATGGGTACACCTTCGGAATGGGGGAAATACACCGTGGGGTAATAACCGGAGGATGGACGTCCTATGAGAGATGACTGGGTTGGTTGAGCCTGGAAGGCCGGTAAGCTCTCTTTCATTTTAACTTGCGTGGAGGAGAAGGCTCGGGGCGAATAACTTTGGGGGAGGTTGTCATCCTGTAAGCCTTGGAGTGTTATTCCGGGGACTCTTTCGGCAGCTGTGAACGTGCCATTTAGGTGGGATGTTTGGCGTCTCTGTTCTTCTAGCAGTTGCATAAATAGCTCCAATCGGAGCTCTAATGCCTGGAAAACTGGTACAGCCCAGGAAATCTGAATCAAACATGGCTCTTCAGCGTCTTGGCACCGCTGCACAATCATTTTACCGTACTCCAATAAGCAGCCACGGTCGGCCAACAAGGATTCCAAAGGCTCGCTGGAAGCCTTTAAGCTAGGTTCATCGTGCTCGGATCCATTCTCTAGTCTGTCGAGGGTGAAGCTGGTAAAGACGTCTTTCCGCCACAGTCTTTGCAAGCTGGATTGGTCAGTCCAGGTAGATCGAACTAAGTAACTAATAAGGGTAAGCAAAGCCCTGGGCACTAAGCTTTCAAGCTGAATTGTCAGGAAGCATCTGATTGCGTGTTTGGGTTCACCGCTCAGGCGAAGAAATTCCAGAAATTGGCGGTATATGGCAAGAGAGCACAAGGCGTATTTGACGCATTTTAGTCCGTAATAGCGATAAAGCCTCTCTCGTTCTTCGCCATGGGGCATGTGTGCACCACTCCCTTCGCCGTTTATGGAAATAACCAACATGTTGTAGCACATCAAGATCACCTCGTATAACTGCATCCGCATCTGCAATTTCCGAGCCTTCTCTACAGGACTCATTTCAGGGTGTCCAAATATTTGAGAAGTGGCGATAATAGCCTTGTCTTGGTCCAAATAATCTACCAATAGGTGAAGCAGGGTTTCCAACGACGAGATCGTTGTTTCCTGGGGGTTATTCAGCAATTCCTTTATAATGTTCATGACCAACGTGTTGTGTTCTTTAATCCAAGTTTGTGGGACCCTGTAGACGTGATCGTCCGCTTGAAAGGTAGCCAGGGTATACCCGACTCCTAGATAGTGTGTGATATTCAAATTCACCACTGATAACCATGTTTCCGGACGGTTGCGTGTCCTAATCTCTCTTAGCAGCTTCAGGTCAACGGAATTGGTTAGTGGATACTCTGAGTAGACTCTTTGTAGAGCAAGAGGGTTTCTGTGGAGGGCCAATTTACCCGACATATGAATAATCAAATTCATTAAAGTGTGGGAGGTATACTGGGGTTGGGCCAACGAATCCACAGATAAGCCTCTGTGGTTCAAGTATCGCAAGATGATTAGACAGTGGACGGAAGATAAGGTGGGATTCTGAAAGGCCCTGGCGTACTGCAAACACGTAATAGCAGAGTTTGATAGTAGGATCGCGGTTTCCTCTTTCCATTCGAACTCGTAAAAGAAGGCAGCAGTTACCGGTAGCCGGGGCTCATTAGAGGATCTCTTCAAATGGGGACCCGTCGTATCGGTCGGCATGCTCTGTTGATCGCACTCAATGGTAGTCTTCAATATCACAAGTAGAAGGGCTAACTCACAAAAATCAGACTCTTGGGTAATCCCCATACCTGCATTCGAGACTTTTTCCGTGGATCCTTTCTCTGTGGTTGGTTCTACGGATGAAGGTAGGAAGAAGAGAAATGGTGAAGACGTTATGTGAGGTCTATGGTCCATAAATCCAGAGGTTGGGTCTGATGCCGGAATGAATATCGATCGAAAACGTTTCTGGAGTGGATAGTCCTCCAAAAATGGAAAGAGGCCGACGAAATGCTTACCAAAACACAAAAGACGTTCCAGAATAGCGTCATAAGTCGGGAGAATTTGTTGGAGGTTGCGAAGGAACTCGTTTACATGACTGGCCTTTCTCACAGAGGATGATGCCCCAAAACAGTCTTTGGAAAGTGGATGAGTTAGAAGGAGGTCCTCAAGGGACAGGTTGGATTTCTTTTGGATCTCGTTGGTTTGTGAAGACCTGGAGGAGCGAATCAACGGTAATAGGGGTTCCAAAGCTCTGTCAGATGTTAAATAGGCTTGCCATGATGCTGGTCCGTGGTATATCTTTTCTTGAGGGGTATCGATAAAGCAGTTCATTTTGTTTAACAAAACTTTAGTCTTGGTTTTGACTTGGAACGTTTGGGTGTCTTTGTCAGTGTGGTTGGTGTAAATGTGTCTTTTGGATGAGCTTTCGAATTTCTCAGGGGCCTGAGAAATTCTGTCAGATTGTAGTTTCTTGATAAAGTACTCCTTCTCTTGTAATACTTGACGAAGTTTCATATTATCGTTCTCCAAGTCTTGAATCCTCTGGCTCATTGTTTGCTCCTTAATTACAGACGATACCCATGGAAGTTCGTCGTAGTGGCAGAGATTCTCTGTGCCATTCTCTGTGCAGCTTTCACATGGTTGTTGCTTGTTACATTTAATCTTCTTGTGGCGGCAAACAGAGCATGCTGGTGGAAATCGCTGTCGTTTCTTTGGGTGGGTTGATTGAAGAAGAGGATACTTTGAGGTGGCTAGGAAAGAACTTGAAGGTAGAACATGACTTTCAAATAGTAGTTCTCGAGGTAAAGGATGTTCTGGACGTTGACTGGTCATACCTTGTTGTGAGTATGAACTTTGTGGCGTGGGACTCGGTAGGGTTTCAAGTTTTTTTCCTGAACTGCGGTACTTGGGTGGGTAGCCTTCGGGGCGTTGACTAGAGCTCATATAGGTAGTGGGAGATTATCTTTGTTGAGAGGGACGAGCGAATGTACAACAAAAGCTACAAAGAAACATGAGCTTATGAGACATAAAAAAGGGTACGTAAAACGTAAAACGGTTCCAGGTAGACAAACTCTCCGCGAAGATAATTGCCTGATATTTTACTCGGGAGAAATCATTGAATGAAAGTGAAAAAAAAAAAATATACGGGTGGGGCCTTAGGCTATAACTGTCGTAGTTACACTCTTGGTGCAAGAGCATGTACATATCCACTGTTGATTAGCTTTGCAAACTTAAAACCAAACAGCAACATAGAATGGAGCTTTTTTGGGCTTCTAGAAACTTTTTTTCTGTCTGCGGAAATCCAAAGGGATTATATTTACCCCACTCTATATCGTCAGCACTCTCATGACCTGAGTTCTGGATTGTCCTTCCGTCGGGACGTACACGATTATCTCAGGGCACGGGAAATTCTACTTCTCATAAGTGTAGTATAATTACGGTAGAATCCCTTCCGGGGTCCCCTTTGGCGGTCATACATGTACGCTGTCATAAACCTGGGAATGCACATTAATATGTTGTGTCCGGGGTGTGTCGACGTACCATGTACGTGAATTTGTGTGTGCTAAAAGATTTTCAATTTTGGAAACAAAAATTCCATAAAAATGGGCAGCTTGATCCTTAAAACCCCCTCAGATGACGGATACATGGTTGGATTGATTTGCCACAAATATGGATGGCTACTGATACAAGCCACCTCACAGTTTTATGAACACACAGAGAGACGAACCTATAAACACATATGCACTGGTGAGTAAACTATGGTCCTTGCAGTCTGCATGTGTCATGCTCCAAGTTACCGCATTGCTCTGATGCGTTCCTGCCGATCCGCCTCAGCGTTCGCCGGGTACCGATGAGTTCATAAAAGGTCCCAAAAAAATACACCGGTGCCGGTTTGTATCACTTACGGAGTTAGTAGTTTTTTCTGCCCAAATATGAGCTCAGTAAGCCTCATTCAGTGCTTTTCAGGGAGTTGGCCCTTTGTATCCATGAATTGCTGCTAGTCTGCAATACGAACGCCTCCTGCGTATAAACTCCGGCGAGAAAACAGGGTTTTACCTTGCTATAAAGTACGTTGCAACAAATCAAAATTTTACGCTATGGCAGTCGAGAGCGGACATATCAAGTACGTTTTGCAGACATCTAACCCCGGCTAGTCTTTTCTTGCTGTATTGACCTTCTATGACAAGTTTTTGTATGCCCTTAATCGGAGATGCGCAAACTCGTCCATAGATATTTGTTGTCATACCTAGTATTGTATGCATATTTTAGTGCAAAGAATAAGCTTCAATAACGGTTGCTACCTCGGCGAGTGTGGTTGAATGGTATTGTACGGGTTCCACTTCGAAATAGATTACTTTTAATAACATAATATCTTCCAGGCATTCTGCTTGGGATTATTTCGGTATGGTTCTCAAGAGACTGCCCCATTAACCGCATTATGGTGGCTCTCTGAGAGAAATAACTAACCGCCTCGTTTAATTTTAACCTACGTATACGTGACTCAAATGGAGGCTTCGGGATCTCCGAGATCATGTGCATGAAAGGTGCAGGATTTACTCCTGAGAGCGCCGTGGAGTATTCATACCTAATCTCTGTAGGCACTGCCAGCTACTACTATATATTTGAAGATAAGACCCGCCTCTGGTATATAAAACCCGAAGTGCATCTGTCTCCGCCGAGGCACAGAGCTGCCGAACCGCACTAGCGTCCGGCTTAGTAAGGTAATATCGCACCACACGAATCTATCCTCGTTCTTTATTTTCACCTATCCTGACATTGCAGACAATTTACGTTGGATCTACGCCTCTACACATGTATGTACTTATGAAATAATACTCAAACGCATCAAACTGGATTTCAGCACAAGACACCGATTTGAGGCATTTACAACACATGTGCGTATACGTAATATCAGCCTTATACGGGTATGCGCTTTAGGCTTAATTACCAGTTAGGATATACTGCAAATTGATACTTAATTCTAGGTGTGTGCGTAAAATGTACTACACCAAAGTACATATACATGAATTATATAAAGTTGTATCCCAGTGTTAATCTTTTATTATTCAAATATTTATGTGTTTAAAAATAGATAAATATAATTTGGGCTTAATTATATGCATATTTATATTTGGATATATAATTATAGCTAGACTTAAAATTACCTATAAATAGTTATCACAGTTATATTCAAATATGTATATATTATCTAATGTGAGTCATAAATATCTATGGACAGGCTTCAGGAATGAAAAGAATTATAACGTGGGTTTGGATAAAATGTGGTACTAGTGCAAATTTCCCAGTTAGCGTTTCCAAGTATATGTAGTACTATTTTCAAAGCGTTACCAGATTTACACTATTTTTTATTCGCGATGACAATATGGACACACCTACTCGTTCCTTTCCCGCGCAATTCGTATGCGACGAATATCCGCGCGGGAACGTCCTGCCTTTTTGGGATTCTTAGCCGCCGATCTTGGCAGTTATCAAAATTATCTCTGATAAATAACTTATATAGGATGACGACCCCATGGTACGGTAGGGAAGTTATTTCTGGTCCTTATTCCGCTACTCCACATGGCACAGCCTCAGACTGAAGCAAATGAAGGGTCTTTGCTACTCTCCAATGAGCTGTCACGCTACGATTCTACCTGCATCCACCAAGACCTTCCTGGGGCAGCTAATGCTTTTGACAGCTATGACAAAATGAAAGACGAAGTCAAATTCATCGTCAAATCGTCCATTCCCATGATAGTCACCTTTTTCCTCCAATACTGTATCCCAGTCATATCCGTTCTTTCTGTGGGGCATTTGGGATCTCAAGAATTAGCCGCCGCCTCGCTATCAATCATGTCATTTAGCATTACGGGGATCTCAATCTTCCAGGGGATGACAACATCTTTGGACACCTTGTGTGCCCAGGCATACGGTGCTGGGCGCTATCATTTGGTTGGGATATACTTCCAAAGGTGCAGTGTATTGATGCTTTCCGTCATGGTTTTCCTTGCTTTAATTTGGTGGTTTTCCGGTACGCTCTTGAGCGTTGTAGTGCCTGATCGTGAGTTGTGTTTCATGGCAGAGAGCTTCATGCGTGTCTTGGCCTTTGGCGCTCCTGGGCTCATCTTCTTCGAAAGTGGGAAAAGGTTCTTACAGGCCCAGAAGTGTTTCCACGCAGGGACATACGTTCTTGTGGCGGTTTTGCCTTTGAACATTCTTCTCCAATACGTGCTAGTTTGGCACCCGACAACCGGAATGGGATTCTTAGGAGCACCACTAGCCATGTCGATCACTTATTGGATGATGGCTCTACTCTTGCTAGCCTACGTGTTATTCATTGATGGAAAGGCTTGCTGGGGTGGATTGGCTATTAAACAGTCATTTACTAACTGGTGGCCCATGATTTCGCTCGCTTTTCCAGGAGTGGTAATGGTGGAGGCTGAATTTTTGGCGTTCGAGATATTGACCATTCTCGCCTCCCAGTTTGGCACGGAGTTCCTTGCTGCCCAATCGATCGTCGCAAATACCTCAACGATCTTCTTTCAAATCCCTTTCGGAATTTCTGTTGCTGTTTCTACCAGAATGGCCCATTGCATTGGTGGTGGGTTTCCAGAAGGAGCTAAACGTGTTGTAAAAATATCTGCTTGCCTCGGGGTCATCATCTCGACCCTCAATTGCTTAGCCATTGCAGTACTTCGAAAGCAGATTTGCCGCCTCTTTTCCCTGGAACCCGAGGTGGTTCAGTTGGCCTCACACGTGTTGCTTGTTCTTGCAGTGAACCAGCTCGTCGATGGCCTTAACGTCACGTTTGCTGGGTGTTTGAGAGGTCAAGGGAGACAGCGGATTGGAAGTATTTGGAACTTGGCTTCGTATTACCTTGTTGCTTTACCTTTGTGCTATGTATTAGCCTTCAAATTTGATATGAAGTTGTATGGGTTGTGGATTGGCTTGGGCATCGGGGTGGGTTTCTTGGCTCTTTGCGAGGGATTGTGTATTTTCTGGAGCAATTGGCCTCAAATAATGATAGACGCGGAAAAGAGAAACCAAGAAGATAGCTAATCCAGTCACCAAATAGCTTGGGAGAGAAAAGATATATATAAACAAACCAGGAGTTGAATCTGAGGCTTTTCACATGCTTAGCGAACGTACCTCGTCACATACCTATTGGATAACACGAAAGATATGATTTATTGCCCGACGAAGTTTCGTTTATATAATCCCTCATGATTCTTTCCATAACTCATATAGACTGGTCGGCTCCAGGTATCTCTTCGTTATGGGAGATATCGTTTCAAATTAATGTCTAGAAATTTATATATAGACTTACAAGATGCACCAATTTACCCTGTATATGAAATGAGAGCTACTTTGAGATACCAGCTTTAAGGTAACTATTTATAAATAAACGTAGAAACAGCCACTCGAGCTAAACAAATCCAAAGGAGCTTCTTACGTGGATATTACTCAGGTTTTGAAATCGTCCTGAACCATGATGGCGAAGCTAACACAATATCTTACCCACATTGGCTTAATACCCTCTTTTCGGCAATGCCAGAAAAGCCACAGACTCGGAAACAAGAAACTCTCATGTTTTTGCCAACCAAAAGTTGGTCTTTGCTCTTCATTGGTTTGCCATCTATAAATAGAAGCTGAAATCGCATCTGGTTCGCGCCTTTCCCACCTAGTTTTCTACAACAGTTTCATATCTAGTCTGAATAGTACGGGATTCCGCCAGCCAGGCTGTGTTTCGTAATAATCACAGAAACTTGTGAATACGTGAGTTCTGAGCGTCTGCAAGGGTGATGGCATAGCCTTCAAGTGGGCTGTGCGTGGACCACGCCCCAAATCTCTAGCCTCATTTAACCTTCGAAATTAGAATTAACAATGAGGCCACGCGGGTATATTATATGCTAACGTTTTAAATACAATCAACCGTTGACTATGAAGTTCGAAGTGCCAAAAGAACCGCTGTACCCTTGCCGATTGAAACCTACGCACACGGGGTTAAATGAATTTTTAAAAACAAAAACATCGTTCGTGCTTATGCAGGCCGGTCCTTCGGCCTAATGCAGCTGGTCCTTCTGTCTAATGCGTGAATCATCTCAGCTGTGTACATCCTTTGTTTTTCGATGGGAAATTTTCCTAATTGGGATCTTGAATTCCTCGCCTCGCTAAATTAGCATTCGCGTGTCACATAGAATTTGCGTGGCCAGGTGTAGTCGCAGAGAAGTTGGATATTTGATTAAATCCAGCATCATACACCTCAGTGCTTAATGTGACTGGTAACTGGCAATGGATATATTCGATACACTTCAAGCACGTAGACTCCAGTCATAAAGTGCAGCCATACACATCGTAACCAGGCGTTCCAACTGGGAAGCCGACCAGGCACCGTAGAATTAAGTGGTATGAAATGATACCGGAATAGTTTTCGAGGGCAATATTTCCCTGACAACCGCACGTGCTACCAGAATCGCTGTATGGTCGGAAGCCTGGGGGTTTAGCTACGACAAGTCTAGCCGACGCATGACTATGCAAGGCCCTTCCCATGCGTCGCCATAATAGACAGCGGTCTCTCAGATCGGAGAAATTTTGTGAACTGGAGCACAAGGCTCGTGTCATGCATCTTCGAAACAGGGATCGGTTCTTTCTCTCTTATAAATAAACGAAGTTGCCTTAGCTGTCGGGGATTAACCATTTATTAGACTTGCCGCCCACATCATGTCGTACGAAGATAAAGGAAACCGACAGGTGGACCACTACAGTGATGACGACTCTGATCTCGATCAGCACAATTCCAGATACGCTCCCATTGAATCCAACTACGCTGCCCAGAGTGGGAGCCACCTTTCAGTTCCGGGCCATTCATACTCCCACTATCAAGATTCCGCATACAACCCTTTTGGCGACGCTCAGACGGCGTCCCGCAACGAGTCATTTGAAATGACCGCAACCGATCTCGGGGAGACCAACCACATCGGAAACACTACAGTCACTGGTCTCATGGAGGCTGAAACGTCCTACATGGGGGTGCGCTCGCCATACGGTGAGGCTGACAAGTACCAATCGTTCATGCGTGATACCGAACAACAAGTGCCTGCCCCGGCCGGTGATTGGGGTGTGTATAGTTTCATGCAAAGTCTTCCAGTTATCGGCAGTCGTTTTCAGTACGAACAGCCTGAAATCCCCCCGGCCAATGCCATTTACACCCAAGAGGAGAATTACCTGTACGAGGGGAATCCGTATCCGTCAGCCATCCAGGGTGATTTTTACGAAGATCACGATGCCTTGGAGATTGCACCGCCATCCTCCCATGATTCAGTGTTGTCGCTAGACAGACCGGCGGAAGAGTACTCCAGAACCTCAACGGGGATGAAGAGACGTCCCACGAAATTGGTGAGAAAGAAGCGCAAGGATCCGGCTGACCCGTTTCAGAGCGACGAGGAGAAGAAATTGAAGTACTTTATATTGGATAGAAGGTTTCCAGACCTCTTGAACACCAAGCTAGCCAGCAAGGTTGACGTGAATAATGAAGCCAATAAGGAGTTTACACATTTGAGATACTCTGCTATCACTGCTGCTCCATCAACCTTCATTAGAGACGGGTTCAAGTTGAGAAACAATTTGCGTGCGTTTCCAAGAGAAACCGAGCTTTTGATTGCCGTCACAATGTATAATGAGCACGATATCTTGCTTGGGAGAACATTACAAGGAATCATGGAAAACATCAAGTACATGACATCATTGAAGAAGTCTCAGACTTGGGGTGAGAACTCCTGGAAAAAAATCGTTGTGTGTGTCATTTCCGACGGCCGGTCCAAAATCAACCCTAGAGCCAAGGCCTTGATGACGGCCTTGGGGTGCTACCAGGAGGGATTTGCCAAGTCCGTTATTGACGAAAAAGAGGTACAGGCCCACTTGTTCGAGACAACTTCGTTGATAAATATCCAGGAGGTGACAGAGACGAAGGTGATATTTGCGGACACTGCCAAAGATATTGAAACCAATATTCCCGTCCAGTTTGTGTTTTGTTTGAAGGAGAAGAATGCGAAGAAGATCAATTCCCACAGATGGTTTTTCCAGAGTTTTGCCAAATTGTTGGACCCAAAAATCACGGTGTTATTGGATGCTGGGACAAAGCCCGACAAAAAGTCCCTCTACAACCTTTGGAGGGAGTTCAAGACCGATGAGAACGTTGCCGGTGCCTGTGGTGAAATAAAGGCACAGACCGGGAAGGCCACGTACAAGGCGTTGCTCAACCCGATCATTGGGGCACAAAACTTTGAGTACAAGACATCGAACATCTTAGACAAGCCATTAGAATCGTCCTTTGGCTTCATTTCGGTGTTGCCGGGTGCATTCAGTGCGTATAGATGGTTAGCACTCGATATCGACAACCCTGATGGCCCCTTGGATAAGTACTTCAAGGGTGAATTCTTGCATAGCAACGAGGCCCCAGAATTATCTGATCCTGATTATGAGTACAAGAACTTGCAAAAATTAAAGCTCAAGTCCCAGGGCATCTTCACCCAGAACATGTACTTGGCCGAGGATCGTATCTTGTGTTTCGAGCTTGTCACTGCGAAGAAGCATAAATGGGTCTTGAGATACGTTTCCAGTGCGGTTGGGGAGACGGATGTCCCTAGTCGCCTCCCAGAGTTCATTTTACAGAGAAGAAGATGGTTGAATGGCTCTTTCTTTGCGGGGACATACTCAATCATCAATTTCAACAAGTTTTTGAGCTCTGGCCACTCTGTGATTAGAAAGTTTTTCTTGGTCATCGAGTTTATCTACCAGATTGTGTCCCTTGCGGTTTCTTGGTTGTCCTTGGCTTCCTTTTTCTTGGTGTTCAGGATCTTGTCCTCTGCGACCGCTAGCGGCAGCGCTTCCTTCACCGGCTCGTACCAGCTCTCGGTTGTGTTCCTCTATCTCTACGTCTTTCTCCTTGTGCTCACCATTTTATTGTCTTTCGGTAACTCTCCTCAGGGGCGTTCCACCGCTATGATATACAACTTTATTGTGGGGGCTTTCGCGTGCATTATGATCTACATGTTGTTCTGTATCGCGTGGTTGGTTGCCAACTTCGCCAATCAATTGGTAGATTACTTCAAGATGATCGGGGGCAGCCTCACCATTGGAGATTTTGCTAGAGTTCCGTTGCTCCGTGATTTGGTCATCTCCTTGCTCTCCACCTACGCGTTGTACTTCTTTGGGGCTGTGCTTTTCTTGGACATGTGGCACATGTTGTGGTCGTTCTGGTGGTATATCCTTTTATCTCCTGCCTACACCAATGTGTTGAACATCTACGCCTTTTGTAATATCCACGACGTGTCGTGGGGTACTAAGGGTGACACCGGAGGGAAATCTTTGGGCTCTGTCAAGTTAGACAGTGACTCCAACGTCGCCAACTCCAGCCCTATTCCGGATGATAAGGAGGTGAACAAAGCGTATGTCGAGGAGATGGAAATTTTGAACACCGACTTCAAGGATGAGGAAGGATCCAAAAAAGAGGACCAAGTCGACAAGTTTGCGTTTGTGAGAACCGCCGTTGTGGTGTTTTGGATGATTACCAATTTTTCCTTGGTGGCCATCGTCCTTAACGTCGGGTTTAACCTGTCCACCACCCCAAGTACCTCTGCCGCCGTGAAAAGAGCGGATGCTGCTCTAGAGGCTGCTGCCACACAAAAATATCCTGGGTTGTTTGAAAACAACACCACTAAGTCAGGGATTTTCTTGACGGCTATTTTGTGGTTGGTGGTATTCTTGAGCTGCTTTAGATTCCTTGGCGCGTTGTACTACAAATTCTGCTTGCGATTGAAGGTCCATCTCAAGGCTGGAAGCCATGCTTAAGTGTAACCGTTTTAATAGTGCCTTAGAAAATGCTGATGTAGGAAACTGTAAAACGTGTATCGCTTGCCAAGCCGCGAACCACGTTTCGGATCATGTAGACTGAGCAGGTTTTAACTGTTTCTGCATGATCTACCGAAGGTACCGTTTTCCTCTCAGACAACCACCAGAGGGCAGAGGTAATGAACCGTTGTTTTGGTAGTTTCGTTTCTGTTGTTTTATCAAAACAGTTTCTGTCAGAGATTCATCTGGATCCGATTGACTTTCCATATTAACCAATATTCTCTGACCGTTTCCGTTATTTACTAGTAATGGATAGCTGTGAGAGATTCTAACGGTACGCTTAGAGTCTCCAAAATAAAGGCCATTTTATGGCCAGAACAAAAACTATATAAGATAGCAATCTCCTGGAGATCTCTCGGCATGTGCCACTGTACCCATTCTCTTACAGCTTCCATAACAGGGTTCCAGCGTTTGATGGAGTTCCTGTTAAAGGGTAGTAGCCAGTCACCTATCCATAGGATACTGTCAGATTTAACTCTGAAATAAAACCGTGGTCTTTCACCAAAAATGAAGATCCCTCTAAACTAAATACGTATTCTATCAACAAGAAACTACTTCTTTATATAGCCTTCTGAGCTTGCAGCACCATGATTCAATTTCACTTGAATCGCCACTTATAGTTCAATTCTCTTGGATGGGCGTATCCATTAAGTTTGTGCTAAGGACCTGGTTCTGATAACTGCCAGATAATCCTGGTAGACACACACAATACCATTTACCATCTCAGAGGTGGCTTATTTAACTCTGACTTTCCAAGCTTTGTTCCTTATGGCCTAATGGTCATGGTGTCTGGCTACGACTTATAACCACATCCAGAACCAGGAGATTTCAGGATCTCTTTGGGGATTCTTGTATTACTTGTCAGGCAAGAGTGAGTATGCACCAGGCAAAAGAGATGCATGGATCATTAACCGCCTGAATTACTGTCTGATCTGACTAAACGAGGTGTAGATATACTGCCGTCATCTTGCAGCCTGCTAAAGCTTAGGCTTAGGCAGATTCTAAGCCAAGGGACGTTCGAGAAATCAAGACAAGAACGATGAGCCGGATCTGCTGTCCGAAAAAGGAAAGTCAACGCGCCCAGCAGTGGCATGGGGCTAATACAGCAATCAGGGCCTTGGTGCTTTATCCAATACAAGAATAGCGGATTTCCCACAAACCTAAATTCACTCAGGGTACTAAATGAGTATTGTACCTGTTTCACCCCAGCAGTCAAATTAAAATTTGCTAGCTAGTGCACCTGATAAACTCCGTATTTCGGAGATCTCACTTGGCACTTCAACGATGAGCATTTCATCAAACTATATATTTGAGGTTACGAGCGACCCAGCCGCCATCAAGCAAAGCTTTATCAACAATTCCGAATCATTCAATCTGCCTAACAGAAACCTGGCTTCTGTCACCGACTATGTGAATGGTGAGCTTGCGATAAACGACAGTGACATCTGCCAGAGACGTTCCCCAACTATTTCAATTCAAGGCCAGGTATTTTACGTGGTTAGAGATACCTCTATTACCCTCGCAGAAGGTGATTTCACCTCTGATATTGTGGCTTCCTGTTGCACATTGACCCGTGACGGCTATGTGAAGTCCCCCACATTTGGGCTCAAAAACATTCCAGTTTCTTGCTATGCGTTTGTGTATACCAAGCCTGACCAGCGTAGAAAGGGAGTAGCTGCTTTTATGTTAAACGAGGTGAACAGGCATATGGAGAGGGAAATCCCTGATGGAATTTCAGTTTTGTACTCTGATGTCGGTGAGTACTACAGCCGGTTTGGGTTTGAGTCCAGACATGTACCTCTTGCTCTTTTACTGGTGGCTGCTATTCTTCAGACGCCATCCGTTGAGGGCGGAAAAATAATCACTCATATGCAAGGACAGTTTAAGGACTTGTTCATTTTGGACGACCGGATATTGGTGGAACGGTTAAACTCTTCCCTGACCGAAGCACCTTACAAGATTAGTGTATCACTCAAACCTGATAGCGCAATCCAAGAGTTGTTTGCTTCCCGGAGTACCTGGAAGTACTCCAAGTCAAAGTCCATTAATCAAGCACTGGAGGATTTGATTTTTGGAATCTCGGTTACCGATGAAGCCACTGGGCAAGTATTGGGGTTTGTCACCTTTTCTCACTATTGGAATGCGAAAGTCATGAGCGTTACCAGGTTGTTTATTTCTCCAAGTGCAGAAAAAGCTGGCACAGCCAAGACAATTTTCGTTCAGCTTGTGCAAAATTTGGCGGTTTTGGCCGAGAAATTAGAGTTTGATACCATCAAGTTATGGCATTCGGAAATCGACGAGACTAAACACAAGGCTATTTGGGATTGGATTGATGAGTTGCCAAACAGTGACATTAACCTTGCTAATACTTCGCTTTCGGCCATTAACTTTCACTCAGGGTTTAAGGCGAAGTATGATGTAGAAGGGCCTGATGTTAAGTGGGAGATGAATGGTAAGTGGTGCTGGTACTGATTGATATCTACAGCCTGCTTGTTTTATATACGGTGCGTGTATCGGCTATTGATAGTGAACCACTATAGATTGTATTGTTCGAGGAAGCCCTACCAATCACTATGGTAAAGCATAATAAAAAAAAAACAAAAAAAAACAGGGTTTATCAAAGGTGCATCCGTTTCCAAAAGAATGCAAAAATGCTATTATTGGGCTTCAGGGATGGATGCGGACTCACCGATTCCTCATGCAAGTCAATAACGGCTTTTCCATTACTCGGAGACTATAGATAAGAAATAAACCGAACATCCACGCAAGTTTTCTCCCACCAGCGGACTCTTTTCCCCGCTCGGGAAATATAAAGGTTCATTAATCCTCTTGTCCCTATCTGTCAAGGATTTCCAAGCAACGAAAGTTTAAGAACTCTAGTACTTTAATACTGACGATATGTAAATTGTATAAAGTTATAACCTATCAATGACGACAGGAGGAAGAAGCACATATTCTTCTGCAACCTTAAATTACCTATATTTACTATGGGATACTGGAATATGCACCCACTAAAACCTTCTTTCCAGTCTTCAGAATTCCTATTGGATTACATGGACCGTAAAACCCTTAAAACTTACCAGCCTAGTCCTTCATGACATATCCCAATCGGGAAACAAAATCCAGGCTTAGCCAGCTGTTACAGTGAGTTTCAGACACTATTTAGCTTGTTCTGGCGTGTCCAATTAATTGGTACTCCAGATAAATAAACCTCCATCAAAGAGGATTGATCTTTAGAAGATAAGGTCAAAGTATATGTCCGACGATAGGATATAAATATGATCCCTGGTTGCATTTTCCATAGACCACTTTATTAATAAAATTATTGAAACTAATTATACACACTATGGGATACGCAAATAATGAGCTAGAATCTGCTCAATTACTGCGTGAGAGAGATTTATCAGCCTTAGGGGAGGAAACGGCCTCCTTCGATCATGCTGATATGGCATACATTATGATTGCTACCGTTACCATCATGATTATCAGCCCCGGGATCGGTCTGCTACACTGTGGGATGGTACAGAAACATGACTCTGTCCAGTTATTTATGCAGTAATTTATGGTGACCGGCTTGATCACTATCTAGTGGTACTTATTCGGCTATTCTTTGGGCTGCTCCACCACCTTTTCTAGCCCCATCATAGGGATTATGCACATGGCAGGCTTGACCAACATGAACCAGGGTCCTCTTTTTGAGGACGGGTCTCCAGTGCTTTTTTTTCCGGTCTGCACGGTTCAGAACTTTCTTGGTGCTATCGCTGAAAGAGGGAGACTCAGCCCGTCGTTAGTGATTGAATTCGTCTGGGCTACAACAGTATACTGTTCTCTTGCCTATTGGACATGGCCCACAGGCGGCTAGTTGTTCAATTTAGGTAGTTTGGATTTTGCTGGCGGCGGTCTAGTTCATATTGCGGGTGGTATCGCCTCCTTAATCTACTCCCTCTGCCTGGGGAACGCATTTCGTGGAAAATTGACGGAAAACGGCAAAACAACAAGTCCCACTAGTCGCTTACCTCGTTTATTGGTACACGTTTGATTTAGATGGCCTGGTTGTGCTTTAATACAGGGACGTTACTCGCGGTCAATGTGAGAACTGCTTACATTATGGCCAATACCCAGATCAGCGCTTCCGTTACATGTGTTACATTTGCACTTTTGGATTACACCTTGACAGGAAAATGGTCCTTGATTGCAGCTTGCGAGGGTGCCATAGTGGGGATAGTGGCGGTTACGCTTTCATGTGGCTTCATTCCAACTTGGACTGCCGGAATTACCACTATTGCCACCGCCTTTATATGCCATTTGACGGTTGATATCAATAAGTGGATTGGTATTGATGACACTACCTGTTCCTTTATCCTACATGGCATAATTGGCTCTATCTGTTTGGGTATCTTTGTTTCCCTGAACATCGCGGGAATGGATGGGGTGATGAGAATTCCAGGCGGTTGGGTCTGGCACCATTGGGAACAGTCTGGGTACCAGTTTGTCGGTGTTGCGGTGATTTGTCTTTGAACCGCCGTTTTCACGTACCTCATCTGCCTCGTTGTAGATTACATTTCTGGTCTCCATTTGAGGACCAGCGAAGAGGCGGAGGTCTCAGGTATGGATTACATTAGAAATGACAGAGACCTCCCACGAGCACGGTAATGATTTAAAAGCCTATATTAGATAAATCGTCCGTCAATATGCCTATGGTTCACCTAACGAATCGATATCATACTTGAACGGCGTTGAGATTGAAGACACTTACCTGGCCGGGGACAGCTCCAGCAAGTTCAACGAGAACTCTAAACGCATCAAAGGGTGCATCAATTAATCTCCTTCAACAGGAAGCGATAAATGACAGTTTATATAATTTAGGAAGCGATTTTATTTCACAAAATTTAATGCACGTTTTTTTTTTTGGCAAAAACATAACCTAAGTTTGGGGCTAGCCCCATTCCTCTGGCGTGTGGTAACCGCAGGATAAGCATGGGTTATTTTTCCTTTTCTCTGAAAAATTAGAGATATCGATCGTTGATGAACATACTGTATCAGTTCCGTGCACACTTCTATCTCAGCTTTACATCGTGAGACGGTTCCCTGTTTGTTGATTTGAAAACACAGCTATATCGATCTTTAACACCTCGACTACAGCAGTACCTATTACCCCGCAAAGTCACATAATGAACTCCAACTATACCGCAGCCCTTCAGCCTAAGAAGGCTCTCTCAGAAATGACCCCTGATGAACAGGCTCAGGCTGGTGCCGAAGCACTCATGGGGTTTATGGCCTCTTGTCCGGGTAAAACCGTGATGTCTGGTGTTACTGGGTTCGCCCTTGGTGGGTTCTTCGGGTTGTTCATGGCCTCCATGGCGTATGACGTGCCGGTTGGTGGCGGTGTCTCCAAGGTTTCTGACTTGCCGTTCAAGACTCAGATGAAGTTGCAGTTTAGTGATATGGGGAGAAGATCCTACACCAGTGCCAAGAATTTCGGTTATATTGGTATGATCTACTCCGGTGTGGAGTGTGCCATCGAGAGTTTCAGAGCCAAAAACGATATATACAATGGTGTTTCCGCCGGCTGCATCACCGGTGGTGGTTTAGCAGTTAAAGCTGGCCCTCAAGCTGCTGCTATTGGTTGTGCTGGGTTTGCTGCTTTTTCTGTCGCCATTGATTTGTATTTGAGACTGGACGCCGCCAGACCGCCTGCCAACGATTACGATGATTAAGAGATGAAACACGAGCAGAAATGCCCTTTGTATATATGTATATTTTATCCCATAATTGTAACCTATACCGGTAAGCCTCCTAACTTGAACTAAAGTCTATGACGTACTTTTGCATCTGTCTTAGTGGTAATAAGCATCTGTCTCCCATAGTAATAGATCTACATGTCTATTAATAATACATGTCATTAATACTAATACAACTTTCAATATACAATAATATAGGCCATCATGTCCTTTCCACCCCACTAGCATGCAAAGTAACAGTAAAACAAATTCAAGTTTGCTAAACAGCACGAAACCATCAAAAAAACCATCGCAAAGAGCAAGAAAGTTATGGCAATCTTCAGATCACAAATTCGGATAAAGCACCTGGAGATGGCCTGGATACCCCAAGGCACCCCGTTGAACGGTTGTCTGTTTGGCACCTCACGCGTCGAGGCTACCTGTGTTTCTTCCATAATCGCCCGTTTTAGACTCTCCAATTTTTTGTTCAACTTCTTTTCCTGGATCATAAGCAGGGCTTCCGAAAGAACGTCATCAGAAGCCGCTGTGGAACGAGGAATTTCTGATTCTTGTGTCTTCTCAGGGGGCCTCTCATTAAAAACAACCGTGTCTCCCAAGGTTGCACTAAACACTTGCTCTTCACCTGAGAAAGTCTCTCCAAGTAAGGACTGAAGTAGCCCACTCAATTCATCTTTTACGGGGTCGGGGTTCTTGTCCATAGCGGCGAGTTGCGATTGTAACCATCCAATCAATACGCGCTTTTTCCGAGGGGAGTTTTCGGTAGCTTTGGCATCGGAACCAGGATGACGGTTCTCGTCAACATGCGGGGGGAAGTTTCTGCCACGCGTCTGCGTAGTGTGTGGTCTTTGGTACGGAGACCCATGAGCAGAGCCTTCCGGGATAACGGAAGGCATATTCTCGCTACCATGCACATGCTTCCATGAGCTCGTTTGCCTGCCACTGGCACTGCTTTTTTGATTAGAGGATGGTATGGCCGATTCTGCCGAAAAATTTGTACGTGACCTGGCATCTAACAGTTTCGGCGAGGGTGAAGGGCTTTCATCTCTCGGCGGCCTTGTGATCTCCGTCTTGGGCTTCTGGAAACTCTGGTTTTGTTTCTGATTTTTAAGAGCAATGGCTCGCTTGTACTCGAGGTATTTGCTAATAAGATTCCGTGTTTTGTTCTTGTCCAGGGGAGTGGATTCTTCAACAGGGTTTGGTAGAGATTCGTCAATGAGATCCGTTGGAGGTGCTGTAAATTCAGGAAATAAAATATCTCTTGTGGGGAGTTTGCTTGAGCCCAATATGTTTCGGTTCCGCCTTCTTTCGATTCGCTTATCGTGCTTCGCAGCGCGAATCATCCTCTCCATGGAATCATCGGTCTCAAACTCCTCATCTCGGGCTTCACGCTCTGGGGTTTCAGTCTTTACAGGGTGTGGTGAGGTGTGATGGTATAAATAATGCTCTGGGTTGTGTGTAAAGTCTGGAGACCCTAATTCAACTGGAGTGGCGATGCTTTCAGAGGGGAGGACTTGGTAAGTTAATGGTAAGGGCTCTCCTAGTAACAACCTGGTGGCTACTTTAGGACGAGACAGTACTCGTGCTGAAATTCCTGTGCTCTGGACTACGGACTCATCGTCCTCGCGGATGGAGCTATTGGTTGACTGGTGACCGTTGGTCATATCCTCATATTCAATGGCCTCGTTTATTGAGTTCAACAGATCCAGTCTGTGGCCCCTCGTGTTTAAATTGCTGGTTATTCGGGGTCTGTCTTTTCGATGGGGTTCGTATATCATTGTTGTTGGAAAGTACAGCGAGCTTTCATTTCATGGGTAGCAGAGTGAGCTAGGAGAACAGATGAGAATAAAATGGGTCCAGTAAATATTTTTTTTTTGCTTATGGAGGCTAAATATGTTGTTATATTGGTGCGGGTGTGCGTGGTTTCTCGGGGGCCGTATTCACTGAAATCACAACAAACCGCGTAGGTGAATTTGGGTGTCACAGTTTTTCCCCCGAGTTCAGCTAAGAGCGCGACTACGATACCCTTGCATAAAGAAAAAAACACGTCCACATGCGGCGTCAACGGTGTAATTATTAAATGCCTATGCCCTAATTCTTGACCGTGTATTCTATTTGACTACAGTACGCCGATTAAATCCCAGATACAGAGCATTTCAGATAAACCTCATCGGCAACCAACTTTCTCGCACCGACGACCAATTCTGTTATAGCACCAACGGTTATTCACCTGGTACATTCAAACTAGCATACATCAGAGACAAGGCAAGGCTTAAATTTAATTTATAGGCAACATGTAGTTAGCTTAAGATAAAATATATAGCGACCGCAATACCAGACAGAGGCACAAAGATATACCACACCATAATATAAACTACTTGGAATGCTAGAACCAACACCACTTACCGTTGTCAATCCAACCAAATGGAACATCCACGGATATGTTTTCTTCCACAATCTCAACCTTGCCGTCTTCAGATTCGGCGTAATTATGGAATCTAGCGGCAGAGATGGAGCCATTCTCAGAAACAGAGATGGCCACCTTAGAAGCGTCAACACCGTTCTTATCGGCGTAGACCTGGGCAAACTGCTCGGTCGAATCAATGCCATACTGGAACAACTCGGATTGCCAGAGGTTGATCTTGTGGAAGTCACCATACTTTACATGTGACTCACGGCGAATTTGTTGGAACAACTCATCAATCAATTTCATGGAGGCATCGGCAGAGGTTTGGGGCTCAACGAGCACAATCTTCAAAATGTAAATGTTGCGATTCTTCCAGTCATGGGTAAAGGTGGTCATCGCCACTATCTTTTCCGGATTGGACGGATCATACATGCTGACAGCAAACACTAATTCATCCTTAGAGTCGGTTTCACCAAACACCTTCAAGTTGTTTGAAATGAAAATGGACCTGAAGCAGTGCCAGTTAAAGTTCTCTAAGGTAGGGGTGTTGGAAATTTGCTTGAACCCGGTGGTCTTAACTGCCAGGGCCAACTGCCGCAAGACCTGGTCGTTGTGGAGCTTGTGCAAGAGAGTGGTGTCATCCTTGACTTTGTATGCCTTGAAAGTGTAGGCAGAGGTAGCAGGAACCTCTGCGTGGGTGTAGTCAACTGTGATCAAGTCCATACCTCTGGAGATGTAGCCAAACTTTCTATAGTATTCGCCTACTTCACTGTACAACGTGGAGTAGGTTTCACCCTTGGGATTTCCCGCACTGAGTCTTTGCTTGTAAGAAGTGGCATACTCGTTATTCAAATAGTCTATCAACTTGTTGATCATAATGTTACCCAAGTTCAAACCTCTGCTCTTTGCTGGGACAAAGACACCACCAATGCACGGGGACATAACATTGGTGATAATGGCTTCCCCATCGCTTCCAGGGTGAGCGATGTAACTCAGCCTGGTTAACGTCTCGCATGCACAGGCAACGTCGAACATGTCGTCGTCACCTTCTTTGCGTTTGGCGGTAAGGTCACGAACGATATAGTACGCAATACCCGCCAAACCAGCAGCCTGTGGACCCTTACGGAGATTGTAGAACCCGTTTACGGAGGTACCATCATGGTGAGGCTCCGAAGCAACATTAGAGAGGGAGACGGTGGACATGAATTTCTCACGCTCCACATATTGTTCAGGGGTCAACTCATTGGACCAAGCGTGAGAGTTGAGCGCATGACAGTTTCTAATGATTTCCGGGTTGAACGTTCTCTCAAAGGTGTAGTTTGAAATATCCTTCTTGGCACCAGCAGAGGTGGACTTGGTAGTGGCTGGCTGAGCAGGCATGATAGCCTCGGCGGCAATGCAGTCCCGGTCGTTTTTCATAATCATCGTGTATCTATGTAACGTTGAATGTGGTAAATGGTAGCTCTATGCGAGGTCTAGGTCTGGCCTGGGGATCCCTCTCTATAAATAGTGTATCGGTGGCGCCTGTGGATGTAGTCGTTTTCTACAATATAGACGCAAGTTCCTGTATGTTGTAGGTACAAACGAAAGAGAAAACAGCTTTTATCAGTGTACCGTAAGCACAAGCGATACAGTTGGCATGTAGGATGAGGCAGCCGTGGGGGTACCCATCTTACCGTGCGTGGGGGGGACTAACAGAATGAGAAAACTCTAAAAATACCTAGTGGGTCCGGCATTTTGCGATCTGCCCTGTCATATGTACAGGGATGGGATCCTCTTTTTGCCAACGTCAGCCAAATGGGTGGCCGCTCATTCGCTTCAACCTGCAGTTAGAGTCTAGGAAGGTCCTACATTACTTTGTCATACGTATATACCCATGCACTTCTGACGCACAAGACTGTCTTTTAGCCGCGGTTTTATGTTCTTTTCCGAAGGCTCGCGAGAATCTAGCCCGTAAAAATAAAGACCAACAAATAGATGCACAGGGGATGAAGGATAGGCGGGTAAACCATGGCCTTGAAAATACCCAACTGCCCTGAGAATAATGAATAGGATGGAGTATTACACGGCTGGGTGTCGTTCCAGTACCAAGTTCAGGCGCATCTTTGTGTGGCTGAAAGCCGTATAGCTACGGAAAGCATGGAGCCCCTCAGAGTAGTGCATGCACATGGTATATACACGTACCTCCCAATGTAACGACACGTGAAATTGGATGATACACCAGCATATCGCTTATCAGTTCGCAATGAATGAACGCTTAGTCTTGTATTCACATTTTGAACAATATACTGAAAGCCAAGTTATTCCATCCTCTATTTCCGATTCTGTACCTTGGCAAAAGAAGCAGGCATTCTCTGACACCATTGGCTTACTCCCATAATGTGTCGTTTCATGATATACAAGGGAACTGATCCCATCCTTTTGGAAAACCTCTTGACTAAACCAGCACACTCCATCATCAACCAGTCGTTTGATTCGCGCCTCAGACTAGACTTGCGCAACCCCATCAACGGTGACGGGTTCGGCGTGGGCTACTACCAGTACGCTAGCGATTCTTCTAACAGCGAGGACACAGCACCAGAGCCCCAAGGAAACTCTCCCGCTGCCGATGATGCCGGCGATTTCGAATCTCGCTTATCGGTGGAAGAAAACTTGAAGAAATTATCCCCTTGTATCTTTAGGGCGATAACCCCTGCATGGAACAACATTAACTTAAACCGTTTGGCAGCCTCCACCCGGTCTAAGCTCGTGTTTGCTCACGTTCGCGCCTCTACCTACGGTGTGCTCAGTGAAACCAATTGCCATCCATTCAACTACGGGAACTTGATGTTTATGCACAACGGTGGGATCTCGCAGTTTTCCAAGATCAAGAAGAAGTTGATTTCGCACTTGAACGACGAGTGGTTTTTGTATATCCAGGGATCCACCGACAGCGAATGCTGCTTTGCGCTCTTCCTTGACTGTCTCGACAAGTTGGGCTACGACCCAAGACCAAACAACTTTGAGTGCGAGTTGTATCAGGGAAATTTTCCCCAGACCATTCCGCCGGTGACCCATTTCCCGGACCACATTTTGCGCAAAGCGCTTTTACAGACGATCCTGTTGATCAAGAACTGGCAGGTAGCCGTGACGGATGAGCCTTCCCTTTTGAATTTCGCCGTCACTGACGGTGAATCTATCGTTATTTCTCGCTATATCACCTCTTTGACGGACGAAGCCGCCTCCTTGCATTTTTCTACCGGCTCCTCTTTCAAGGCCTCGCCTGATGCCAACGATTGCAACCCACCATATGAGTTCAAGATGGAGCGCTTGAATCGCTCCCAAGACACCATCATGATTGCGTCCGAACCGTTGACGTTCCAGAGAGAGGACTGGATCACGGTGCCAACCAACACCACTCTCACCGTGAGAAGGCAGACGGTGTTGTTGCATCCCATTGAGGATCAGTTCTATGACCCGGATGCGGATAGAAGCAGCGGCTTGGCTAGCAGCAAGGGCTTGATGGGGAATTTTCCAATCGGTGAATTATCCACTAACCTGGCTAGTACCCAAGCAGGGGCAGCCAATGGCACCATAGCTAGCGGTTCTGTTAACGGCCATATAACCTCTGTGACGGGTGTTGCTGGGGATGACTCCGACAGACTCGCAGCTTCAATCCCCAGCTTTGAGTTGATCAAAGGCGGTGGAATGGCCCCTCCACCATTGGAGCGTGAAGGTAGGTCTCGGATGAATAGTCAGAACCATACTGTGTATGGCAATCTTAATAAAACCCACGGACCCGGCGAACCCCTGAGAAAATCGCCTCCATGTCTGACTGGTAGCATGTGTTGTTAAGGTAGAACGTCCATGCTTTGGCTGATCTTCCCAGAAATGATGACGATGCATAATAAGCTTTCTAGGGCACAGTATCGGCCTGATATCCTTCCTAGTGCTCAAATTTCCTAAAAAGGGGGACAGACTTGCAAATTATGTGTATGGATTCCAAAAGAATTCATAAATTTCATCAGGGAGATGTAGTTACCAAAGCTATCTGTCTAAAACGAATTCTAGAGATGCAATCCTTTTGGCACTTACAAAGTGTCGCTCTAACTGTCACTGGCGAGATTGGGGGTGTTTCCAAATCTATACAGCAAGCTTATATACACGATTTACTCTGTACAAGTAATTTTCGTTTACTGAAGTCTATATGGGTTAATTTAGCACTGGCATAGGTAATACCCTGGCATTTCGGTAGGCATTGCCGAGTCTTTATACATTTTCGCGACTGCGCGTCCTAAACGATTTGATCATTTGACATAACCCCAAGTCTTCCATAGTTTAGCCATACTTCTATCCTTTCGCTTCCCCTCCTTTCAGCATACCACCATGCGTGTCGTCATTCAGAAAGTTAAATCGGCCTCAGTTACCGTTGACAACCAGGTTGTCTCCCAGATCGGTCGCGGGCTCTTGCTCCTCGTGGGGTTGAGTACCACCGACACTGTTGAGGAAGTTACCAAGCTAGCAAACAAGGTTTTGAAGTTGCGGTTATTTGAGAATGAGTTTGACGCCGCCAAGGGATGCTGGAACGGAAAGCCATGGGCATTCAACACCAAACAGGCCGAAGCGGAAATCCTCTCCGTGTCGCAGTTTACGCTATACGCCAACTTGAAAAAGGGTGCCAAGCCAGACTTCCACAGGGCAATGAAGGGAGAGCACGCGATTGAGTTGTACAGTGAGTTCATGAGACAGTTAGCGGTCGAATTGAGCGAAGAGAAGGTGAAGGACGGCAAGTTTGGTGCCATGATGGACGTTGCCTTGGTTAACGACGGCCCGGTGACTATTGTTTACGATACCAACGAGTGTTTGGAGTCGAAGTGATGGGTAAACAGATACATAAATTAAGATTGGTAGGATGAAGGTTGTTGTAGAAGGAGAGCACAAAGAAGACTGGAAACCACGAAAAAGGGTATAGGAAAGCGGTCAATATCCTGGACAAAGTATCGCATGTATAGGACTTCCACTACCTATACAATATAGGTAATAGCACACAGCCTCCTCTTAATCTCTTGCTATTTCAGAAAAAAATACTTCAGCTCTCGTATTATAAGTACAAAAAAAGACTGCTGGGTCGGACTAGAGGCGTGCACTACATTTAGTAAACGTACCATTTTATTATGGAAACCTCGGCAGGGAGAATCGCGGTGCTCATCGTCGGCCAGGCTCATACCTAAAGTGTCATCACTAAGCCATTTATACTTAATGAACTATTTATTGTTCACCGGTATGTATCCGATGATCTAGTTTATTTGAAATATTAATCATATTCAAGAAAAACATAAAATATGGTATTAGCACTGACGTCATGTAGCTGCTCCTCCGCTAACCTGGCATCTTGGTCGTTCGTAGCTCTGAGCGCCGTGTGCCAGAATTCAGAAGGGACCCCAATCTGATAACGCGCCGTACGACGGTCGGGTACCGGCGCCAACCTTATTCCTCGCTTCACACATCTTCACTCTTTATAACATTTAATCGCAGGTCTGATCCTACTTTTCTTATAGTATCATTCAACGGTAGCTATTTTTATCAGTCCAACCCACGTGGCTTTCTCCGACAGAAGAAAAGCGCACCGTTATCAGTCAAACGTCAATCCAAGCCTTTGCCGATCAATCAGAGATTAGAACAGAACCCCCAGGAACCTCTTACCAAACTTACAATACGATGGGATTCCTCAACAGAAGCAGCTCTAAGAACAGAGAGCCGGCCGACAAGCCGCCGACGGCACAGCTCAAACTGGTGTCCCTTGCTGACAACACCGACACCACGCCGTCCGACTCGGATGAAGAGCCCGTCAAAAAGCAGTACCCAAAGGAACAGGTGCCTTCCCCGTTCACCTACCGCTCCAACAGTCCGTCACGATATGCTGCCATTAAGGCCCAGATTTTGGAGGACATTGCGCAGGACGACGAGACCAACGCTAATACGGCACTCAACTCGCAGATATTCAACGGCGAGAACGACGACAAGGCGCGTTTTTATCAACTTCAGTCGGCATCCAACTCATCCGACTTGTTGATCGACGAGCAGTCGCGGTTGTACTTTGACACGGAGTCGCGTGTGAGCTCTCCGCCACCTGGGACGGTTTCGCCATCGGGCCGCAACCACTCGCACCACTTGGACGCCATTGCGAATTTGTCGTCGATTGATGCCATCACGCTCAAGCAGGAACAGAAAAAGTCGGTTGCGGGCTTGCTTAACCACTCGCCGCTCCAGTCGACCTCATCTCTCCAGTCGACCTCGTCACTCAAGTCGCCTGCGCTGGACGGCGTCGCGACCCCAAAATATGACCGCCGCATCACCTTCGATGCGATCTCCGACCAGGCATTGCTGAAAAACTTGTCGCTCACGTTGAAGTCGAAACACCCGCAGTTCCACTTCCACAGAGTCAACAAAACGTACCTTGTGGGCTTCGACAACCAACTGCCTGCCGTCAACGCGTTGAAGTGGGTTATTAACGATTCCTCGTCCAACGGGGACACGATTGTCGTATTGTGGGACTTGTACCATGACAATGACCCGAAGTCACACGCAAGGAAGCCGACGCAAACGACGATCACCAGACCCGAGGCGGAGCGCATCTTGGCCAAGATTGAGAACTTGAACATAAAGGGCAAGAGGTTGCAGTTTGTGCTTGAGATAGTGTTGAAAGGCGACAGGCCCAAGGGAGAGATTCAGAAGGCGATTATCGAGTACGACCCCGCATATTTGGTTGTTGGAACATCCCATCAGGTAAACAGTAGCCCCACCGCTAACTCCCATAAGGAATCACACACCAAGATGTTTTGGAAGAACAACTCGTTATCGAAACACTTCTTGGAGAGCTCCGCATGTCCCTGTATCGTCGTCCAGCCTAATTACCAGGCGCTCCCGGAGGAACACTTCCATGATATTATCACGGAAGACTACTTTGCCAGACTCTTGGGCGAGATACACAGACCAAAAAAGACTGCAGGGCGTGGTTTCTTATCACGATCCTCCTCCAGCACCAATGTAGTGACGGTAGGCAGTGCGGAAAGAAGCAGCAGGTCCTCAATATCTTCCTCCAGACCATCCAGTGCATACTATGAACAGTCCCCACTTTCTCCAGTGGGCTCCAACTCTGGAAAACCCGACGACGGGCTAGTCCCGGGGTCCAAAAACTCCATCGCCCAACAACGTGGCAGACCCGCTCTATCTTCTAGACCATCATCTGAGTTGTTCCTGAGCTTGGGCTCGCGCTCTAGATCGCGGTCCACGCAGCCTGAGACCCAGCACCCGGCCGAACGCTCCTTCAGTCCTTTCAGATCGATTTTCCACAAGGGTTCACATGCCAATTAATAGTTTGTGGTTAAAGATGTAGGTATCTAGCATGGGGCATTTGGCATTATTATAGATATCCGAACCTGTCCATTCGTCAGAACCTGCTCACTTATTATAATCTTATGAAACGCGTACTACAATGCACGAGTACCAGATTAAAGGAAACGTAGGAAAAGGCAATTAGATGGAAAGGGTTGTAAAATAAATGCTCATTCATGTACTCGCTTTGTTTATACTCAAAGTGAATTTTGAGGAAAAATTTTCAAGTGTATCTTTTACGGGGTCTGAGTCCTATTTTCTATTTTATTTCGAAGGAAGCCACATATTGTATAATTTTAGTGGTGCAGACCAGTCCTTTAAAAGTGGATGTATCTATGGGGGCGGTTTAAGGTACACACAAAAAAAAAAGGTTAAGTTCTAGGTACACATCATTGGCCCATGGCCTTCTTAACACATAGACTATATCTTGTGAGAATGATTTAGCCCATCGGCTCCAAGGACTTTTGCCTCTTATATAACAAAAGAAGACGCTATCTTCTGCGACTTTGCGTTAGCACGTAGACGTATTCGCACCCCGAAGCTCATCTATGATACGCAGATCACCCCCTATTTCAGAACCAAGAATTCTGGCTGCACAGTTGACGGTCTCCCGGAATGCGGCTCGGGTAGCGGCGAGAAACTCGGGATCATCTTCCCTATACGTGACTTCCACACCCCTGCGACAGCGGTCGTTTATTACCCTTACCATCCCACTGCCTATATCCTTACCCACGCAGTCACCAGATAGATCGGCAATACGGTAGAACCAGGGGTCAGCAATCTTGGTCCACGTTTTCATTTCCCCAGACCACGCAAACACCTCCTGATTATGTGTGACAACGATTGGGACCCCCTCTTGGGTCAACTCCACTGCCTTGATCGGCTCGAACGGCGCAACCACTTGCACCTTTTTAGCATCTTGGTAGACGGCTTGCGCGTTGAGCACCGGGGCAAGAGAGACGTTGTGATATACAACCTTGAAGCTGGCAAGGTCCCAAACATAGACACGCGCGTCGTTTGCAACCGCCAATATGAAATGCTCTGTGCACTTGAGCACCGCGATAGGGGCCACGCCGAGGTAGATAGAGGGACAGAGCATAGCGCCCTCGGGCGAGAGAAGAGCCAAATGGCCATTCGCAAGTGCCAAGGCCCAGAATTTTCCTTGAAACCCCACTGCGTGGACCACCACGCTCGGGAAAAAGGCCTGAAACTTGCGGTTTCCGGCTGAGTCGTTGGAAATTACCTCGGTCGGCTCGTCATCATCTTCCTCAGTCTCCAGCTCCGCGTCTTCGGGGCCATTCAACGCAATGGCGGTGCCGTTTCTCACCTCAAGTACCGAGCCTCCCCCCTGTGCAACCACCACCATGACTTTTGGCCGCAGTTTCACATCCAGGACTGTTTGCAGGAGGAGCGCCACATCTGCTAAGTACTCAGGCACGCGGGGTCTATCCCGATAGCTCTTAGCCGGGGGTGCACCCGTTTCGTCAATCATATCCGCCTGCAATCCTTCTGTCTCCTCTTTGAGACTCAACGAGTTTGCGTCCCGGAGACCTGCGACACACGTAGGGATCCCGAAACGGGGCAAGGTGTAGGCGGATCGAGAGAGCAAGTTCTTGGTGATTTCCTTGGCTATGCGGTCCGACTTGGCCAGCGAGACCTGGGTGCTCTTAGGGATCGGACGCGCGGTGGAGATCAACATTGGGGACACACGTTTCCGCCCATCCTTTGTGATCACAACCCGCTGCTTGAGTTTTGAGAGCACGCCCTTCAGGCTGGGCGAGCCCGTGAGCGGCGGCTGGTCCTTGATTTTGGGCGAACTGGGGAGATCAAACACATTTTCTGTTTTTGGGGCGTCCATTTTCGTCATTAACATGTAATTGTTCTTTCGCTTGCTCTCTGTCTCAGCAATCTCTTCGAGGAGCAACTGCTGTGTGTTTTCTGGAACAGCCATGCTATCTCTATCAGCTCCATATCGATGGAGCTGCAAGTCGTTCACGTCAAGGGAAACCGGAGTGCCGAGTTCCTTCAGCTCAAACGCAACTAACGTGATAGTCCCGTCCAAGGAGCTTACAAAAATCTTCTCCCCGTCCGGGGTCCACGCCAAGTCGGTAATGGTTTTGTTACAGATCTCGTTCAACACTACCAACGGCCGGCTACGCGCAGTGTTCCAGATAGCGAGTGCCTTATCCTGGCCGCCAGTTGCCAAGATGCTCGACAACTGGGACTCCTTTCCGTCTTGGAGCTCAAACAAGCGCGGCGAGAAACTCACCACCTCGCAGGGCGTGTCGTGGCCAATTAAGCTCACATTCGACTCCCAGCTGCCGCGGCTGATGACCGCGACCGAGGCGACCGGGCCGTTTGTCGCGTTCGGCGCTGCGATATACTGCCCGTCAGGCGACCACGAGCACCGCCGGAAGTAGCTGGTGAGCGGCGACTTGCGGAATGGGTCCACACAAACGTACTCTACGCTGAAGGTCATCTCAGTGGGTGATGTCTTGTGGTAGCGGAAGATCCGCACCGTGCGGTCGTCCGAGGCTGTAGCAAAGTACTTTCCCGCGGGGTCAAACACGATCCCCTTGACCAACGACTGGTGGATGTCGAAACGCTTGATCTTCTCAAACGTGTTGCCGTTCCACACCACTATAGAGCGGTCGAGGCCTACCGTTACCAAAATGGACGAGTCAGGCGCCCACGCCATGTCCTGGATATCGTTGTCATGCGCCACGACCCGCTTCCGCACCGTCCAGTGTTCCAAGTCCACATCGGTGTCCTTCTGCCCAAAAGTTTTAGTGATAGCCTCCTCGTCTTTCTCCCAGATAAGCAAGATTTTGTCATCTGACCCGCTCGCGAGAAAACGGCCCAGTGGGTCGAACCGAACAACTGTCACCGCTCCGTTGTGTCGTGCCATCGAACATAATGGTCTGTGGAGCGTCTCGTCAATGGAGTTTTGCTGGTCGCTCTGGAAATATTTTGACTTTTCAGGGGCATTAAATTTAAGAATCGTATCAATTGACCAGATCCGCACCTTGCCATCAAGCCCGCCAGACGCGAGACGCGTTCCATCGGAGCTGATTGAAAGCGAGTACACCTCGAACTTTCTGTTTTCAACTAAAGGTCAGTATTGTATCAGATCTGCAGTGAGTGCTCTTACCTGTGTGGTTGAGCCATGGAAGCTTGATGACACGCATCTTTAGAGGAAGTGTTCAGTGTTCTTGAAGGAGTTAGAGTACTTATCCTATTAGTTTTCATGTATGAGGATATACGTGTGCTAACCGAAAAGGGAAGTACACGACCTATAACATTCTGGATGGGGGATGATGTACGCACGACTAGGGGGAGGTGTATAGATTCTGGTGTGTCGAGGGGGGGATTGATCTGATCCTTTAATAGACCTATTGCAGGAATGAGCTCTGAGACCGTCGCTCATAAAACCGAGAAAAATCTTCTTCGAGGTAAGGTGCAACTCCACACGATGCAATGTAGCGGCATTAGAGTATTTTAGTATATTCACAAGCCACTGCATAGGGCCAAAGCTTTGTCAAGCTTTGTAGTCTAGTGTTTGACCCCCGCAGCTTTCCTGCTTAAAATTCATCCCAGTACGACCTTGATGCACCAGGTGGGTTGAAAGCGATATGCATGATCTTCGCAGTATCGCTACACCTTCTATACTCAGGCATCTGCATCTAGGCGCCGTCTATTGACGACTCCTATGATGAGAAAAGGCGTTAAGAGCTATAGCTAGTGTGACTTTGCCAGCTGTATTACGCGTCTGGCACTGCCGTAATGTTCTCATGATGCCTGTATTGGTGCGTCCTGCGCAGACTCTGCATGCATTACTGGCGAAAAACAAAATTAGTCAGCAGGTTTCTCACACTTGTGATTGGCCGGTGGGCTGAGCTGACACATGAGGCGGCACAACGTTTTAACATGAATGTGGCTGGTAAAGGTTCGAGACGAATGCTTGTTTAAATGCCAAAGAGATCTTAATTATGTGACTGATGCAGCTTGAAGCCTATAACGAGTCACAACACCCCTTGCTGTTGTTTAATTGATCGGCAAAAGCCTTAGATAATACTTTTGAAAACTTTTGGATAGTCACCAAGTCCAGTTGCCAACGACGGGAGAAGAACAAGTTTTGGTGTACCGGTAATACTTTGGGGAAAGGGAAAACCAACCTCATTCCATTCGTTTACCAAAGAAATTGATGTCTCAGACACTGGCTGTGAAGCCCAGTCATGCTACAGCTGAAACAGACACTTCTCGCATCACAGACCAATCCACAACTCAGGAAAAAAATCCAGTTCATTTGCCTCACCAGAGCAGTGAAGATATCCCCTCTGCCACTGCCCCGAATGCCGGACAGCAATGTTTCAATTGTGGTACGACACGGACTCCATTATGGCGCCGCTCTCCCGAGGGGAAACTCATATGCAACGCCTGTGGTTTGTACCTCAGGGCCAACAATGCACATCGCCCTGTGAACTTGAAGAAGCCGCCCAACTATGTTACTATCTCTTGGGGCGAAGCTAGGGAGTCCAAGGGATCCTGTCAGGGAGACGGCCGCTGTAATGGGATGGGTGGGAAAGAAGCCTGCCTTGGATGCCCTGCTTTTAATAACCGCGTGGTTGTTCTGGCAAGCCATGGCGCCGTCGGTTACTCGAATCACCCAACTTCTGTCTCACAAAACTCAGGCCATGAAGGATCCCCGCACCAATCCATGGGGTCACCCACTTCCTCCAGTGACCACGACGATACGGGAGATTCTACCTTAGATGGTGCCGAAGCTCTAGCTATCGCATGTACCAATTGTCACACAACTATTACGCCGTTATGGAGGCGTTCCCCTCTGGGCTCCACCATCTGTAATGCATGCGGATTGTATTACAAACTTCACAGCCAACACCGTCCTGTAAAATTGAAGAAAGCAACCATTAAAAGAAGAAAAAGAAATCCTACCACTGAAACTACCGTCTCACAAGCCACTGGATTGGATGATACCCAGACAAAGTCACTGGAGGGGGAGAGAAGTCTTGCACAGATTCTCAAAGTAGACCACGACAAGTTAATAACGGCACATCTTGTCTTGCCGTCAAATACCCAAGCGCAGGCGGTCAACCTTCAGCAGGTCGGTCGCTCTCCGCAGCTTCAGCTATCCGGACAGGTTTATGATGCCTCTAGAGGATCAAATACACCTATCCCCCAGAATATACCTCATATGACTTACCCAGTCCACCGCCATTATGCACAGCACCCGTACCAATACCAGTCATCTCCGAACACGGTGCGTTTACCACCTTTGATATTTTATGATAACCTGAGGGACCAGCTGACCAGCGATGTCTATAAAGAGACACAGCTTAAGCGTATGGGCAAACCATCGCCTATGCCTGTTGACTTTGGAAAAATGTTTGTCGGAGCCGCCGTCAATAGAGACATACCGGGGCCAGTGTCAGATAAGATCTTTCCACCATCAACTGGTGACGCATCGCCAAACGGTAAGACCAGTAGGGAATCGACTAATTTCATGGAGGGACAAGCAGGTACATCTTCGGCTAGTAGGATCCCTTCATTATCCACTATTGATGTGTTGGTTAGTGTTGCACTGTGGAACGACGCTCCCCGATCGCCTCCTTTACCGTTGCCATCTTTCAACGGTCCCGTATCCTTGGATAATATTGAAAACAAGGCGCAGAGGGATGTTGATAAAAACGCTGTGCCAGCTTCTAAAGAGGGGGATGCGATTAGCAATCATTCCACCTCAGTAAGCATTCATGATTTGCTAGAGTAGCCTTTGTGTGTGATATTGTGGGGGGTGGGATAAATGTTATGGAGCAGTTGGTTTTTTCATATAGACTGCTTACGATAGAATTTCTCACAGTGGATTCGAGATTTCCTTGTAAAATTGGCGGTTCGTATTTTTTTTT